AAAATACAAGCTTTTAATTATTAATTTAAAACCTAAAAGCTTATTTTCAAACCGGAAGAAAAAACCTTTCCAAAAAAAGAAAAATTCTAAATACTCCAGTGGAACGTGAACGTAAATAGAAAATTTCGTGCCATTGGGATTGTTATAAATTAATAAAAGAAAATAATATGAAAATAATTTATTCAGCAAAATGAAATAAAAATTAAATTATTTAATCTAATAATTTAATTAATTTTTAAAAAATTAATTATTACTTGGTTTACGTAATTAAATAATAAAGACAATAATTTATTTATACTACCACTTTTATTAATCGTTAATATTATATTTCATATGTATATTATGTATAATGTATATTTATATATAAATACATATATATTTATACATATATTTATGTATACAGAATTATATATATATTTATATCTATATACTTTACTTTACAATATTAACGCTCTTTTTGCATACATTTATGTATAGTGTATCAAGCGTTTTTATAATTTATACGAAAAAAGCGCAATAACATATCCTGTAAGCACTTGTCGGCAGTTATCTTCAGTTTTCGAATTAATATATAATGTTAAAAACAATCTCTTTTTTTTAAATCCCTATATAAAGATTGCCACAACATTGTTATTTTTTTTTTTTTTTTTTTTAATATCATAGAGTGAATTCTTCCTAACGAAGTCAGTCATGCAACCTCGTCACAAATTTTTTTTTTTTTTGTTAACATTCTTTCACATTCTACAATTTCTTCATTGTTTCATTTTTTCTTTCATTTTTTTCGTTTTTTTTTTCATTTTTTTTCTTCGATTTGCTTTGTCAATTTCCAATCGAACAAGGAAATTATTTCTAAATGTTACAAATTTTGCTAACAAGTATACAAATTTAGCTAAAACGTGTGTATATTTAGCTATAAAATAGAAATTTAGCTAAAAAAACTTATGTTTATAGCTAAAACGTACAAATTAAGCTGAAACATTGATATATTTGTCTAAAACGTATAAATTTAGCTAAAAGTTTATTTTATATTTAGCTAAAACGTATTATATGTAAATTTAGCTAAAATGTGTTTTTTTTTTATTTTTAGCTAAAAAAATGCAAATTTAGCTAAAAAAAAAAATTATGCTTCCATTTGTTTAAAGCATAAATGATTATAAGCTTCAGCTAAAAAAATTTGTTTAGCTAAAATGCGTATAAAAATTTAGCTTCGATGGAAAAAAACACAAAACTTTATGAAAGTTTTTTCGTTTATCTCGTTAATTTAGCTAAAATGTATAAAAATTTAGCTAAAACGTAGAAATTTAGCTAGAAAATATTAAATGAAAAATTATCAGACACACATATCAACGAACATGACAAATTTACTAAATTTTTTTTTCCTTCGTTTTCTTTTTTTTTTATCGAAAAAGCAATTTTCGATTGACATTTTTTCCAAGGTGGGTGAATAAAATTTTGATTTTAAAATATTTTTCTCTAAATTTTGTCGCTATTTAATTGTCATTCTCGGTAATTTATTTTCGGGTTTATTTCCAAAAGTCATTCTTTCTTAATTTTTATTTTCCTTTATTATTTTCTGTATTTTTTTCTAAAGCCTTATTTTCTATTTCCACCGAATAATTAATTTAATTAAATAATTAATTTCCACCGAATTAATATTGAAAAGAATGACATTTGAAAAAAGGAAAATAAAATTTCTGGAGAATGACAATTTATAAACGAATTTTTATTATATTCACGCACCTTTTGAGATTTCGTTAATTATTTCTAAACTTCCATTCCTCTAACTTTTTGTCCATTTTTATAACACATTAGCTAAAAACAGTTTATTGACACAAGACTTGTTTTATTGCTTTCTAGTCAGCAAAGAAAAATAAGCAAAAAATGTAATTTTATTCTCAAAATTTTTTTTAAAATTCATTTGCCATTTTTTTCATTAGAAATAAATAAATGAATTTTTTTTATAAATTTTGTCAAATATTGTCTCATTTAATTATTCTTAGTTTATTTTTAGTTTTTTAATTTTACTCATTTTTTTAGCAATTTTTTTATTTCCAAACTAGTGCCATCACAAGTCAAATGTCTCTCTGTTTAAAAAGTTCAAGTCTTTCACGAACAATGCTGTAAATTTTTTATTTATTTATTTTTTTTTCTCTTTCATTCAGAGCATCTCAAACTTTCGAAATACAAAAACATTTAAACAATCACTTTGTAACTAACGTACCGACAAAAATTAATCGAAAACCGACGATTTTATACCTGCAAGTGCTAAATAGACCATTTTTTTTTAAAACTAAACCTGATCATGAGTGACGAAATTTTCTCTTTTATTTTTAAAGATAAAAGTTCAAACTTGCGAGTTTATCGCAACAAAAAAAAAATGTAAAATAATAATAAACATGACTATCCGTTAGGAGATAAAAGCTATCATTATTATTTAATTAATTAAACTTTGGGAAAAAATTTTAACTTAAATTTTAAATTAATTTTAAATTAATTTCAAATTTGTTCAAAAAAAAACATTTAACAAAAAAAAATCTTAAAGAAAATTTTCTTAAATTCTTTCTCAAATAAAATTTCTGCGAGTCTACAACGAATTTGTTTTTTTATGGAAATGAGTTATAATTGTCTCTTAAATAAATTATGGTTTTTTTTTCTTCTTAAATATGTTCTCAATATAGTCTTTTCGTTTCGTTACATTTTTTTAGTTTCAAGCGTATTAATTTATATCTACAAATAAAGATTAACGAGCAAACAGAAAAAACGAATATATTAAAAAAATTAACATTCAATAACATTTTGTTATTCTTTTGTTTATATATAACAAATAAAAAATAACTTTATCCATTCAGACATGGAATAATTAAAAAAGAATTTTTGTTTCAAACATATTTTTAATTGAGATATTTACCTTTGAAAGTAAATTTCCATTTACTAAACAGTTAAAAAAAATTCCCAATTGAAAAAAAATGTCGATTTCTAAATATTTCTACGAAATAATAAACATTTTTAAACGAATTATTCTTTACAATTAAAATTTAATTCGTATACGCGCTTCTATTTTCTTTTCACTGAAAATATATCTAGAAATTTTTTGTAAAAATTATTTATAATTTTTATAAGTATAAAAATCTCTTAAAAAGAAATGAAAAAAAAAATAAAATCTAGATTTTCGAGTTAAAAATTGACTTCAGTTTTTTTAAAAGACAATTTAAATATTCCATAAAATTCCAAAATTTAAAAATAAAAAAAAAAGATAAACATGAATTTAAAGAAAAAATTAACGATCTGTAGAGTTCTATTTCGTAAATCTTAATCATTAACTATTCAATAAAATAAAGAAGCGACTGCAAATTAATTAACTTTATAACAATAATAATTTTAGCTGAATTTTAAGGCCTCTGAAACTAGTAAATTTACCACAATTTTACAAATAATTATCAAATCTACACCAAAATTATAGAAAAATGTACAATTTTTCGATATTTTTTAAATTTAATTTTCTTTCAAATTTTTCCAACAAATTTTGAGAAAATCTTTCCTTTGCTTACTTGTTGCAAACATTTCCCTAAAGCAACGCGAAAAAATTATTTTTTTATATGGAAAATCATTGAAATTTTTCGAAAAAAATTTTTATTTCCGCAAAATGATTTATTTTTTTTTTTAAATAATTTTTTAATAATTTTTTTTGATTATTATTTTTGATTGGGGTACAGTTTTTTTAAAACGAATTTTCTAATTTTTTATTTTCTAAAACTTTGTTTTCTAAACAAGGTGAATTTCGAAAAAAAATTTCTTTCTTCTAATAATTTTTTATTTTCTAAAAATTTGTTTTCTAATAAAAGTGAATTTCTAAAAATTTCTTTTTGTAATAAAGGTAATTTTCAAAAAATTTTTTTCTAACAATATTCAATTTTTGAAATAACGAATTTACGAAAATTTTGTTAATTCTTTAAAAAAAGTACTTGATCTCAAGTAGCTTTAAAGTTTTAAAAAATTATAATAAAAAATAGAAATTATGCAAATTTTTTAACAAAATTTCAAAATAATCTAGTTAAAAATATCGTAATTAACAAATAGAAATTAATGGGATTTTTTTCTTAAAGATATTTAAAATTTTCTTAAAAAAATGTTTTATAAATAAATTAATTTTGAAAATTTTGGTATAAAAATAATGCAAATTATTATTTTCTTTCAAAGAAGAACAGAATTTTGTTAACAAATTGTGATAAAAAATAGTAATTTTATAAAAATTTTTCTACGTTTTCAAAAAGAAACATAATTTTGTAAAAAAAATTGTGATTGAGAAACAGAAAATATGCAAAATAGTTTCTATTTCTAAATCTTAATTTTTTAACAATTTTCTAACTGTTATCAAAATTATGGAATTTTACAAATTTTACGAAAATAAATATTAGAAATCATAACTTTTTAGAAAAACTTTTTTAGAAATCAAAACTTGTTACGAAAACCTTTTTTAGAAAACAGATTTCATTAGAAATTGCTTTTTTTTAAACAAAAAGGAATAGAAAATATTTTTTAGAAAAAGTGACCACTTTTTTTTACTTATTTTTTTTGTTAATAAAAAATTTTTATTTTTCGACAAAATAAAAATTTGAAATTTTTTCAATTTCAAACAGAATTTATTTTTTCCCTTTATTCCAGATTCGAAACTAAATGAAATTAGTTTTTCTGGATTTTGAAAATAAAATTAAGAAAATTTACATTGCGTTAAAAAAAAAATTAAATAAAAATATAAAAAGAAACGTAAAATTTTCTAAAATTTTATAAAAAATTGATTTTTATAAAGAGTAAAGTAAAGAATTTTATAAAATATGATTTTATTTAAAAAAAAAATGATTTAAAAAATATTTGTTTAGTAAAAAGAAAATTGATTTTAAAATCCAAAACGGAAATTGATTTTAAAAATTACTGTATAAAAAAACAGTTTTCTAAATGTATGGTGTAGATTTTTAATTTTTTTTTAAATTGCTTTTTCCTAGTTTTTGACACGAAAAAATTCGTTTGAACATTTCTCATAAAATTCTCAAATTCATTTCATCAAGATTCGAAAGAATTATTTCAATTTGCAGTCACATCTTGAAGATACATTCTTCAAAAGCCTCAACAACAAACATTCACACTTTCTTCCGTTTCTACTATATAATTCCCTAAAAATCTCATTATTCCCAACATTAAATTCCCCGGCATCGTCACCCAGATCTGATTTAGTTGACAAAAAAAATAAAAATAAAATAACATTAAAAAAAAAGTAACCTCCCTAGTTTTGTTTAAGCCTCCCGAAATCGATTTCAGCGTATTTGAAGCCTTCCTGAAGGGGTGTCGGCGAAACCGGAGGTGCTCCGCTGACTTCCGGTAAATCGAGACTCGCATAATGAAGCGTCGAAGCTTTATCGAAGCTCGCCTGAATTTTTTCAACAGCCGACGCCAATTTCTCGTAGCCCGGTTGAAGTTTCTCGTAGTCCTCCGAATCTTGTTGCGTTGGCGTCGGCGTTGATATTGGCGTTGGTGTTGACGTGGGCGTTGGCGTTGTTTCGTCCATTAATTTCGGTGACGATGGTTTCGATTGAACGGGCTTGAAACCCGTTGGCGTTGGACTAGTCGTTGGCGATGTTGTGACGAGGCGCGGTCTCGTCACTGTCAAATCGTTGAGTCTTTTTGCAAGGGGCACGAAAACAACGTCCTGACTAGCCATTGGATTATTTGAGATTGACTCTTTCGGACTAGGTGGCTTGTCGACGACGACGTTCTTCGAGATTCCATCGCATTTCCTCGTTAACGTATTCGCATCAACTTTCTTCAATGAATTACCTCTGACGAGTTTTGGTAATGTTGCTCCTCCACTGTCGTCAGCGAGTTTGTTAAGTGAACTGCTGGGTAGATGACTTGGTGCGGAGATTTTTCTCGATGGTTGCATTAGTGCGTAGTCGCCACTTGCTGATGAGACATCACCGATTGATGATGATTTGGAGCTGACCTCGGGTTCGGTTGTGAATGGTTTCTCGGGCGATTGAGGACTGTTGAGGGAGAAGGGGAATATTGTTGCTGTTGAACCGGTGGGCGTTGCTCGTGGTGGTGTGGCCGGCGTCGATTCGAGACTCTCCGAATTTGGACTTCCGTTTAGAGGTAGAAAGTTTGGCGTTTTCGTTGATTTACTGCTGGCTAGAATTGCAATCGGTTGGGAGCGAATTTTCTCCTTGCGATTGCTGTTGCGATTTCGTTGATGACTTCGTGCACTCGCGCCCATGTTCATGTTGATGTAGTCCTGCTCGAGGCTGGGTCGTACTTTGAAGGACATTTCCACGTAACCGTCTTGGGTCCGTCGTGGTTGGGGGAAGTCGACAGGTGCGGTTCTCGTTCCTCCTGGAGGTTAAACATTACCGATAAATTTAAAGATCATTGGAAGACCCCGAAAGTGATAGTTTTCTAGACTTCAGCAGAAGCGAAAAGTCTTTAGGAGTCCTGAAGTCCTTAGTAGCAAAGGCCTTAGGACTCTGCTACTAAGGACTTCAAGGCTTTCTAAGTTCAATAATAAACTTGTATTTCTTCAAATTGTCAAAGTTTTTGTGTACACGGAGAAAAAAGTTAGGTTACACCAGCAGGAGACACCGGTTAAAACTACTTGACCAATGCAGGCGTGAACATAAGTTCTGAAATCAAGTCAGCACAATTTGACAGCCAGGTAGTTTTGGCTTGGCTGCCTCAAGTAGTGACTACAGTTGTGTCAATCCCCTTCCTAATGAGAAAGGGGAAAGTCTCTAAAAGTCTTGAAGTCCTTTGAAAAAGTAGTTCATCATTCTGTGTCTTGAAGTCCTTAGTAGCAAAGTCGTCAGACTTTGCTACTAAGGACTTCAAGACTTCCTAAGTTCAAATGATGAACGACTTCTTCCAATAGTCATAAGTTTTTGTCTCCAAGATATGTTCTCCGTCATCTCAAAGAAAAGTTTTAGGGTTCTGTCCAAAGATAATTTACCTAGATCCGTTGGGGTCCTGGTGACACGTGGTCTAACTGAAGAATCCCATTAGTAAGAAAAGGATGAACGCCTTTTCTTACCAATAGAATTGTCCACGTGCCACCAGGACTAGGTCTAGGTAAAAGCCTTGTAAATAATAATTGTTCGACATTATTACCTGGTGGACCGTTCATCAGCATGTAATCATCCTGCAGTGGTGAGGGCATCTGCTTCGGACTGGACCCACTCTTTGGCCAGAAGTCCAGACCCGAGTCCATTTTCATGTACGGGGACTCGGCCTCCTCGACGGGTTTCAACGTTGTTATCACCGGTCTTAGAGTGGCTATCGATGTCGATGAATGAATATTGTTGTGATTGTGATTGGCAGTGGTTGTATTGTTATTATTATTATTATTTCGATGCTAAAAGCAGAAAAATAGAAAGATTAGTATCCTTATCCTGAAGATTGGTATCCTAGTCATGAAGATTACTATCCCAATCTTGAAGATTAGTATCTTATTCCACTTAGGGATAAAAGGGATAATTACCTTGTTGATGCCACTCATGTCGACATAAGGGGCAGTTGTCGAGGAAGTCTGCTGTCCAGGCGACATGTCAACGTAGGAACTGTTATCAGTGGCAGTGGAGTAAGATTGCGACTGCGAATAAGTCGACGGTGGTGACGAGAGTGTCGTCGGTAGATGTGACCTCGAGAAATCTAATTCCATGAGGTCTTCCATTCGTTCCGAATTAACCGAACAACCAGAATTATGACCCCAGGAACTAGATAAAAGTGGCGCTGAATTCGACTTATTTGTACTCGAATTTTCCCCACCCGGTAATAACGGTGCAGTGGTGATGTTCAATAACCTTCCCATTTCGGGCCTCTTGGATCGACTTCCCACTGAGAATGCTCGCACTCTACTGACATCTTGTTGCGTAACTTCGTACCTATCACGGAAGGTGCTGTAATACAAAGCATATTATTTTCTTGTCTCCAATAAATCAAAAGTGAGAGAAAAAGGCGAAGTGAGAAACGAACCTATTTTTTCGATGCCTATTTACAGGTTCCGGTCTCGAACCAACGGAGTAGGCTCTGATGGGCCTCGCCTGAAGATCCTCGCCAGCCGGTAGGTAGCTGGTGACTTTATCGAGGTGATACTCGGAGAACCTCAGATCCGTACTGGGAGTTCCCGAAGTGACTGAACAACTGCTACCACCATGACCGGACATATCGTCAGGAAAGTGGCCATTTTGACTATTGGAAGGATCCATATCGACGTAACCATCGTCACGGACGGGAGCCATCGGAACATAACCGTCGGGTAGAAGTGTACCAGTGTCCTCCACCAGTGACGAGGCTCGGGAATGCGAGTGAGCCGTCGTTGCTGGACTCATTGGCATGTAAACTCCACCACCGCGACTAGGACTTGACCCACAAGGGCTGTACATCTCCACATACGAACTCTGCAGCAACAAATGCTTGTTAGTCTCCGACTTTGATATGTTATCATAATTAATTACTAATTAATTAATCGAATTATTAATTAATTAATCAAATGACTAATTAATTAATCGAATTACTAATTAATTAATCGAATTACTAAATTAATTTCCCAAAAGAGAAGTTCTGTTTAATGATAAAAAGCGCGGGGCGAACTCAACGCAGGCGTCGCGCCTGAGTTTGCTCATCGCTGAGTGGTAGGGAGCCCCCCACCCGATTCCTGATTTATATAAATAGAGCGCACTGCGGCACATGGCACAGTCGACACTCGCAGCTACCACAGAGCGGATCTAACCACCACCGTGAATAAAATACGATAGTAATTCAATTAAACAGAAATTCTCCTAGTGATATCTACTATTCGGAATATTATTTCTGATTATCAATTACTAATTATCAATTATTGATTATTGATTAATAATTATTAGTTATAATTCTTCAGATTGTGTTTTGTAAAATATTGTTAGTCAAAACAGAGTAAGTTCACCCTCCCACTAATTAGGAATGAAATGGCAAAGCACATGCGATTAATGCGAAAATAACATACAAGCATGAAACCGCAGAGAGGAATCACCTGCGAGGGAGAATGGGACTTGTAGTTTGGCGAGTATTTTTGTTGATTGCTCGGCCAAGGGGCATAATCATCACCATTCTCCTCGAGGATAACGGGCTCATCGGGTGTCAATGAATGTCCATATCTCGAGGTGAGTCCCTCCTCGAGAATATTCTCCGAACCATCGTCCATCGATAGTGACGATCCGGCCGAGTCCGTTGAGCAAGCTCCAGATGCTGGACTAATGGGCATTGAAGAAACTGGCGGTGAATACGACATTCCACGACCATACATAGAATGTGGCCTTGGCGCATGCGAACCCAAATGAATCGCTCTTGGATGAACCATCGCAAGTGGCGTTGGATGTCCCACACTCGTTGTTCTTGCTCTCGATGGTAAACTATCACATCTCTCCCTTCCGCTCGTGCCTGTAATTACAAAAATACAATTAAAAAAATCCCCTACCAAAAAAAAAAAAAAATTCAAGGACAAAGAGAAAAATAAACTTGTGCATATTTTTTCAATTATAAAAGCCAATACCATTATTTCCCAGCAGAGAAAAACAAAACATTTTGTTAGTTTCAACTTGCATCATTCAGAGTTAAACCAATTATTATCATTCCCTCGGTTAATATTATTATATATATTCACAAATTAAATATACCCTCAGATGCGTAAAAAAATTCACGCATGCAGACACTGATCCCAATTGGTCAAAATCTTGCGCTCCACCTTACAAAAAAATTAATACACAAATGCACAAAATTTTCTCAAAAAATTTGGATCTGTTATATATACTTGAATAAGAGATTTTATCCCAGAATTAAACAAAAGCGTTGATCAATGGCCACAAAAGAAGGGGAGAAATCATTCAAAAGAAGTGTATAACAGTCCAGATATATATATGAACGACAAACATTTTGAAAAATATGGCAATAAAGGAAGAAGTGCCGTGTTTTCTTTTACCTCGAAGATATATTTTTAAATAAACTTTGCTTAGAAGATAAATTTGAATCTCTATAGTTTTTCAATTCTATGAATGAGTGCGAAAAAAAGTAATTTACAGATTTGTACAATTTTTCTCTTTTTTTCGACACAATATTTGTTATGTAAAATTTGATAATTTACTACCCAATTAAAGAATATTGTCATTTTTCTAAACATAGAACAAATGTAAAAACGCAAAAAACTTATTTACAGCAATTCATAATTTATCGCTCAAAATAAAATTATTTATAAATATTTTTATTTATATATTTTTATAAATACGGTTACACTTCTATATAATACGAGTGCAAATGGTAAAAAAATTAATATAAAAATTATTTCCTTTCCTAAAAATTCGAAAAATAAAATACAGAAAAGAAAATTCAAAGATTTGTTTTGTTATTTTTCTTTCCCTATTCCATTAAAGTATATACAAAATAAGACAATAAATTCTTTGTATTAGAAAAAAATGAAAAAAACAATGCGTAATTTATGAAAATTTGAAAAAACATTGTAACCAGTTCACATCTATAAAAGAAATATTATGCAAGAAAAACCTGTTTAATTAATTCCAATATCCTAGCAATTAACAAACTAAAACGAATGTAATCATTTTTATTTAAGCGTTCTCAAATTTATGAGCTATTTGAAATGAAAACATTTAAATCAGTTTCTACATATTTGAAATGTTAATGTAAAATATCATTAACGACAGTTTGAAAATTAAAAAAAAATTCTCGTATATATGTTTGAAAAATTTTCTCCTCTCCGATAGTTTTTTAAATTTTTTTCGCTATAATTTATAAAATACAATAGAGAATATTTTACACCATTTTCTTAGAATTAAAAATTCCATGATTCAAATTCACCTCTGTAAAAAATAAAAATTTCTATTTTTTGTAAATATTTATTTTAAAGAAATTTTTTTTTTAAATTAATGAAAAATGAAAAAACAGGCAGTGAATAAAGATGATGATGATATCCAAAGTGATATAGGTTATTATTTAGAACAGTCAAAATTTGTAAGTTATATGAATTCAGAAGGGTTTTCAAATTTGGTTTTTAATTTGAATTTTTAAAGGCTTAGTTTTGATTTCGTTTGAAAAGAACAAAGAAGTTTTTTCCTTGGAAAGAAAAATTTTACGAATCGTAAATTTACTTTCATGAACACTAGTAATTTGACATTTTTAAATTAAAAACAAAATTAATTTTTAAAAAGAATTACTTCTTTTTTGTCGTATTGGCACACAGGAAGAAATAAATTCTTGATTTTTTGTATTTATTTTGTTCTTTTATACTTATTTTGTACTTTTTCATTTATTTTTGTATTTTTTTAAATGCTCTTTAAATTAAAATCATTGACTTTCCACTGACGAAGTAAGAAAATTTAGCGACGGAAGCATTTTATTTAACGATTTCCACTAAAATTCAGTCAAATTTGATTAAAATTTATTGAAATTCAACTGAATTTCAATAAAAAATCTTAATGATTGTCACAATCCCGTCTGCATTATCAACTGAGGGTAAAACAGATGACACTTTTATTCAATAAAATATTTACCAAGATTTAGTCATTTTTCACTAAATTTAAGTAAAAAATTTATTGGCTAAAACATTTTAGTACAATTTCCACTAAAATTTAGTGAAATTTGTCTGAAGTTTAGTAAAATTTGACTGAAAACAGTAAAAAATTTTAATGATTGTAACAATCACGTCTGCTTTATCGATTGAGGGTAAAACAGATGACACTTTCATTCATTAAAATTTTTACTGAAATTTAGTCATTTTTCAGTAAATTAAAGAGGAAAATTTATTGACTGAAGTATTTTAGTATACGATTTTCACTAAAATTCAGTAAAATATGACCGAAATTCAAGAAATTTGTCTAAATTCCAGTAAAAAATTGTACTGATTGTAGTAATCACGTTTGCTTTATCGACTTAAGGTAAAACAGACGACACTTTCAGTCAATAAGATTTTTACTGATTTTCTTTCTTTTTTCACTTACTTTAAGTGCGGAAACAGAAAGTTTATTGAAATTCATTCATATTTTACTGAATTTCAGTGAAAATCGTACTGAAATTCAATTATCATACTAAAAAACTTCTGTCGGAAATTTTATCCATTTAGTCTCAGTGGAAAGTTATTGTTTCGAATTTAGCGAATATTCTTGAATTTTTTTTTTCTTTTTTGCATTTTTGTATCTACAAGAAGCATTAGAAATAAATACTTGTGACTTTTTAATGATAACTGATTTTAATTTTTTTTAACACAAACTTTTAATTATCATGATAAAAGTACCACAACCATAGCCTTAAAACTTTTTGTTTCTTTGGGTACCTTTCTTCGGAGCGTGTTACATTTGATTCGTATAAATAATTCTTTTAGTCTTGACAATTTTTGTAAGTTCGTACATAAATCCAAGAAAATTGGATTCTTTTTAAATTTTTTCTAATTCTCAAGGGGATTTAATGTCAGATAATTTATTGAGATTCGGCAAGGGTCCTGCAGCGAAACTCGTAAGTTAGTGGCACGTTACTGGGTGGCATTCGAACTAACTAAAAAATCATTATTAAGAAAAAGATGAAGATTTGTCTATCCTTTTCTAACTAATGGGATTTTTTAGTTAGTCCACAGGCCACTAGGACTCTTGCCATTTCTATCGACAGTTTTTCTAAGGATATCAAATTGAGAAAAAAATAAGATTTGATATGCTAAACAAAAATAAGTTTTTGTCTAGGATATCAAATCTTATTTTTGTCTAGCATATCAAATCTTATTTTTTTCTCAATTTGATATCCTTAGTAAAATTGTGAGGTAAATAATCTTAGACTGTAAAGGTGGCCATGCCGAAGACATGCAACGCTAATTTAAGGCATAACCTAAAAATAACTGTTCCAAAAATCAGAAGAATATCACTTCGAATCGAAATAAAGAATGACTCTTGAAATAAGCATTTCGATTTCGAATTCTCAAAAGTATTTTCAATTCTTTTTTTTTTGACAAAATCAGAAATAGTGGCAGCTTCAACAGTTATTGCGAACGTTTTAGCAGCAATATTGAAGGGAATGAGAGAGGTGATGTATGATGAAACGGAAAATACATACAGCGTAAAACGGATCTTTTGGATGATTGCGTTTGATTGATAGCAACGGCTGCTAAGGGCAGCGACAGGGTTCTCTGATGGGAATTTGTTGCGGTTGTGGTTGTGATGGTCGCGATGGTCGCGGTGACGGTTGTACTTGTTGTTGTAGATTTTGTTGTTGTTGTTGTTGATGATGATGATGTTGTTGTTGATGATGATGATGATGTAGTATTGACATGAACGGATTGGGAATTATTGGTGGAATGGGGATGACTTGCCACCGAATGGCGGCGCCTATTCATACTGCTACTGTTGACATTAGTTGTGGCATTTCCGGTAGTCCCAGTTCCGGTACCGGCAGCAGGTGCTGTAAACCATACGGCTCTCACTGTTTACCACAATTTAACCAGAGATATTCTCCATATTCTCTTTTGCTAGCTCTTAAACTACCTAGTCTTAAATTTTTATCTTAAAAGCTTTACTTGTTCAGGCATTGAAGGCTCTTTAAAAGAGTTTATCCTTCCTTTTCGAGAAAAGCGTCGCGTCGTTAACCTTCGTCGCCACATCGACTCAAAAACTAATTTTTTCTAACTTTTTAAAAGTTAAACTTAGAAATCATCAAAACAAACTGTTTACTTCGCATTTTTGTTTGTTGTACAGAAAGAAAATTCGAAAAAGGAATGAAAAATTGTTTCTAGTAAATTATTTTCGGGTTTCTTTTTCATTCACAAGAAGTAGATAATAGCAGAAGTAGCGAAACAAAGATCTAAAAGAACAGAAGAAAACTAGGAAAAAGGAGGAATATTCACGTGGTTTTCGAATGTTGAAACAAGTAAATAGTAACTTTTGTACTTTTCTAAAAATAAATGTTCAGTTTTCATCCAGAAAAAAAGAGATTTTTAAAATTACGGAAAATTGCATCAGATTGAGAAACAAAAGAAACTTGTAATTTAAATCTTTAATGAACTATGATGATAAAGAATTAACAACAAATTAAAAATATTTTCACGCAGGATTCAACAAGATTTTCAGAAGGATTCGAAGATGATTTACAGAAACAAATATAAGATATCATTTTTGAGAGGAAAAAATTCATAGAGTGAAACGACACAAACAGAAAATTGAGCCAAATGTCAAACATTGCAAAATATTGCGCAAGACTCTATATTGAAAATTACTCCAGTTTGTACGAATAATAATAATATTAACAGGGTTGCCACAAAAAATTAAATTTGTATTTCCCTGACTTTTCCCTAATTTTCCAGACTGATTTTGACTTTTTCCCTGACCCTCAAGAATATTTTGATTCACTCTAAAAATTATTAGATTCTCAAAAAAAAATGTTCCATTACATTTATTTTCGAATTTTAATTGTAAAATTATTCGAAAACATCAATAACTTCTTTTTCAAATAAATATTTAATCATTATTTTTCTATAGGAATTAAGAATTCGAAATTCAAACCTTAAATTCAATAACTTATAATAAATTTAAGATGACAGAGTGATAAAATAATTATTTTATATCATAAGAATATTGTAGCTATAAATTCAAATTTTCAAAGATTTTTATTTGAACCCTTTTCAAAATTCAATTATTTCTAAAAATTCACGCTATAATGCTTTTAATATTCTACAATTTAAAATTTTAAGTGAAAATCATTTTTTAATCAATGTTTATTAGAAAATTTTTTGAGAATTCAATTATTTAAATAAAAAAAAAATAATAATTTGTTAAAATATTTTAATGTTTCTTAAAATTGAATTTTTATGAAGAATTTTATCAAAATTTTTAAAAATAATTGAATTCTTTCGGCGAAATTTAAAAAAAAAATTAAGAATAAAAGCAATTTTCTATCATTTTATTTAAAATTCTATAAAAAAAAATTTAAATTCCGCGATAAGTTTTGTTATTTATGAAAATAATTGAATTCTTGAAACGAATTTTATTAAACATTTTTTTAGAAAATTATTGAATTCCTGTGAAGAATTTCATTTGTAAAAATAATTGAATTCTGGAAAAAAATATTATTATTTATGAATATAATTAATTTCTTGTGAAGAAGTTTATTAAAATTTTTTTAAATAATTGAATTTCTCAGATTTTTTTAAAACTTTTTAAAAATAATTAAATTTTGTTTTTAAAAGTTTCATTAAAAAATTAAAAATAATTGAAATCTGACGAAGAATTTTATTGAATTTTTTTTAAATAATTGAATTTCTATGAAAATTTTTTTTTGAAATGAATTGAATTTTTGGAAAGAATTTTATTAAAAAAATTTTGTATGAATTATTGAATTCATGTGGTTTTTTAAATAATCGAATTTCTCAGAATTTCTTACAACTTTTAAAAAATAATTAAATTCCATCGAGAAATTTTATTAAAAAAATTGAAAATAATTGAAGTCTGACGAAGAATTTTATTAAATTTTTTTTTCAATAATTGAATTCTTAGGAAGAATTTTATTAAAATTTCTTAAATAATTGAATTTTTTCAAAGAGTTTTATTTTTTACGAAAATAATTGAATTGTTTCGAAGATATATTTAAAAACATTTTTGACTATTGCATTACTAAGAAGAATGTTATATTTATTTATAAAAATAATTGATTTCTTGAAAAGAATTTTATTCAAATTTTTTTTAATAATTGAATTCACATAAAAAATGTATTATTTGTGAAAATAATTAAATTCTTAAGAAGAATTGTATTGTAAATAATTTAATTAATTGTATTGTAAAATTTTTAAAAGAATTTTATTTAAACTTTTCGAAATAATTGAATTTTTCAGTATTTTTTTTCAATTCTCTGAATATATTTGAATTCTTTCGAGAAATTTCATTAAAATTTTATGTGAAATTTTTATTAAAATTTTGTTTAAATAATTGAATTCTTTTGAAAGATTTTATTAAAATAGATATTAAAAATAATTAAAATGAGGAAAAATTTTGAAAATAATTGAAATTTTGACAAGAATTTTATGAAATTTTTTGAAAATAATTGAATTTCGGAGAAATAATTTATTATTTATAAAAATAATTGAAATTTTTGAGAGAATGTTTTTAAATTTTTGAACATAATTGAATTTATGCGAAGGAGAATTGATATTTTCTAAAATTTCAAATTGAAATCTTTAAAGTTCAGAATTTTCATATAAATTCTAAAAATTTAATTTTTTCCAGTATAGTTTTAATAAAAAATCCCTGACTTTTCCCTGATTTCTCAGACCTGTGGCAACCCTGATTAAGTCAATAATTAAAACGAATCAATAAATGTACAGCACATTTCTAAATTCACAACAAATATCTTCTTTTCTTTCTTCGTATATTTTTTTATCCTTTATTTTCTATTTTCTTCCAAGCTTCACATTTATTTTCTCTTTTTACATTCTTCTGAGTTTTAATATTTTTTATTCTTTACTTTCGTTAAAGTTTTCCTTTTTTTTATTTTAGTCTTTTTAATAGTTTTTTTTGTTTAATTTTTGGTTTTTATTGTTTAATTTTAGTTTTTACTGTTTTTTTTCCTTCAATTTTATTTAGAATAAAATTAAAAATAATATTCCAGTGAAAGAATGAATTTTCGCAATTATTTGTTTGTCGATTCGTTCAAATAGTTCCTCGCCCCTCAGGAGAAATGAAAATACGCATGCGGTGAGAAGAAAAAAAAAGTGCTAACAATGATTATTCCCAAGTGTCACAAACAAGAATGCGCCTCCATCAATAATGGAGCTATTAATTTACAAGTAGATTCAAATGACTTTTACGTTGCTTTGAGTCAAGTCGCCTCATTTGTCGGTTTTACTGAATCATCAACATAACCAGACACAAAAATTAATCTGACACCCAACACCGAATTAAAATTATACATATATACAAAATTTCACTTATGAAAATTTACACAAATATATAAAACATAAATATGACATAAATATATAAAAAAAACATAAATATGACAAAATATTACATAAATATGACAATAAACATTAGACAATAAAATAATTATTTAAAAAAAGCATATACACTGAAAGGAAAAAAATTAAAAAAATAAAAAAAAATCGTCGATGAAGCTTTTCTGTTAACGACGTATTTTGCAAAAGAGCAAAAAAAAATTCATAAGGCAGAATACGCCGATGACGCTTTTAAAATCCCCAATACATTCCTCAATATTTTAGAATTTAGAGCAAGATCGCAAGTATATAAAAAAAGCGTTGGTTTATGCTTCAAATTTTTGGCCCCCTATACAATTAGCGATATGAAAAAGCAGATTTTATTTTCACCCAAAAATATGTATGACTTTATAGAGACAATGCCCAATTTCATCGATTGATTGCCAATGACCAGAAATTGAATGCCACTCGGGCAAAACATTTCATTAACAACGAGCATAAACCAAACTCCGACAAACGATTCGTGTGTCATCCGTTCAAAAGTTTACTTGCAATTCACAATATTATTAGCTAATGGGCCGAAATTTTATTCTCCCATCAAGTAAATAAAACATAGACCGAGGAAATTGATTAAATAAAAAAAACTGATTAAATAGAAAAAATGATTAAATAAAATGTTTATTGAATAAAATTTTTACTGAAATCAAATTTTTATTCAAGAAAATTTTTACTAAATCAAATCTTTATTGAATAAAATTTTTACTATATAAAATGTTTATTTCAGAAAATGTTTATTAAATAATATGTTTATTGAATAAAATATTTATTAAATAAACTTTTTATTGAATAAAATTGTTATTTAATAAACTGTTTATTGAATAAAATTGTTATTTAATAAACTGTTTATTGAATAAAATTTTTATTTAATAAACTTTTTATTAAATAAAATATTTATTAAATAAGATGTTCATTGAATAAAATATTGATTAAGTAAAATTTTCATTAAATAAAATATTCTATATAACATTTTTATTGAATAAAGTATTCATTTAATAAAATGTGACGAGCTCCGAAGAAAGGTACCTAGGAAATTATTTAAAAAATTATTTTAAGGTTATATTTGCGTCATTTTTACCACAATTACAAGTTTCTATCTTTAATTTCAAATTAAAATCAATTTTTACAAATTATTTTAAATGCAATGAAGTCTTAAACAACAGTTATTTAAAATAAAAGTTTATCCCCTTTTTTTATTTTCATTTCAAAAATTACAACCATAACCTTAAATTTCTCATTTATTAGCTACCTTTCTTAAAGAAGCGGGTCACAAATTTTTATTAAATAAATAAAAATAAATTACGAAAGTAGGTAAAATACATCTAGTAAAAATTAAAAAATTAAAAATTTTTTTCGAAGATAAAAAAAATTGGAAAAAATTGTATTATTCAACAAAATAAGTATGCTGCGAACATTAAGGAAAAAAAATTCTGAACGGATTTTGACGATCGTCGAAAAAGCGAGAGATAGAGGAAAAAGTAAATGCCCAACAATCCATAGCAAAGAAAAACTGATTCGACAAAATTAACAAAAAAAAAAGAAAACAGAAAAAACAGAAATTCTCCAATAAATGAGCCACCGGAAAGTATAACCTTAACCACACATAAAATTCTGACCGCCGTTGCTAGAATTTTATATGTGTGGTTATACTTGCCGGCGGCTCAAATATTTAATTTTTAATGCTAACGACAATCTTTACTACAAATTGTAAAATATTTTCAAAAATATTACCGCAAAACGGTATTTAAACGAAAAAAAAAAATTTGGTATCCTATTTTTTGGTTCTGGTTAGTTTTATGTGGCCATTCGCCATTTGTTTTAAAATTTTTTATTTTTAATAAAATTTCGCTAAAAATTTGCAATTATTTCTTTTTTTATATTATTATTTATTGATTATCATAATTTATTTATTATTTATTTCTTCCTTTACCATTTATTATTTATTTATTATTTGTTTATTTACATGTTTTTTTTAATGACTTCTTTTAAATTTGTTTATTATTTATTTATTTATTTATTTATTAGTCATTTATTAGGGTTTATCGAGTATATACTCTATTAAAATAGCAAACAATCTAAATTTAATTTTTTTCTTTATTAAATTACAAAAACAAAAAATATTGAAAAAAATTTCGAAACAGAGATATTTGAGAAAATCTTTTATCTCTCATACAGGACAGAATTAGGAAAAATAGAACAATAATAATTTAAAAGAGAAAATGTCATTTTTAAAAATGTTCTTATCACTTTAAATATTTATGTATCAGAACTAGTTTTTGAAAGATGAATAGAAAAGAATTTTTCATTCGAAATTTATTTTTATTTGATAATTTGAACACTTTAAACAGTTTGATACTATAAAATTTAATTACATACATTAATATTGTCCAAATATTATAAAAAAGTCCAAATATTAAATGAAAGTTTATCGTATTAGTACACATAGAAAAAAGAAAAAATTGATTCAGGTGTCTATTAAAATATTTATTTGTTTCAAATAAATTTTTTTTTGTTTAAATGATTTTTTTATGAAACGAATTTTCTTTGGATTGATTAAATTTTATTTTGATTGATTAAATTTTATTTGGTATACCAAGTAAAATTATTTGGTTCTAATAAATTTTTTTTTTGTGCCAAATAAAATTATTTCGTTTCAATTAATTTTATTTTGGTACACCAAATAAAAATATTTGGCTTAAATAAATTTTATTTTGCTTACATTAAATTTTATTTGGTTCAAATGAATTTCATTTATATTTATTAAATTTTTTTTATACTGAATAAAATTATTTGGTTCAAATAAATTTTTTTTGTTACCAAATTTTTTTGGGTTTCAAATAAAATTATTTGACACAAATGAATTACATTTGGTTCAAATTATTATTGTTGGTTCAAATGAATTTTATTTGTATTAAATTTTGTTTGGTTCAAAAAAATTTTTTTCTGTCTAAATAAAATTTTTTTGTTCAAATAATATTTTTGTTGGGTACCATAGGAATATATCCAGCTCAAATGAATTTAATTTGGTTCAAATAGTCTTTTTTTCTTCAAATGAGTTTGTATACCAAACAAAATTATTTGGTTCAAATAAATTTTTTTAGTTACAAAATTTTTTTTGTTACCACAATTTTTGGTACCAAAAGGAATTTTATTTTGTGTAATTAAATATTTTTTAGTACCAAATAAAATTATTTAGTCCTAATAAATTTTACTTGGTTCAAATAGAAATTTTATTTCTGCTAAATAAAATTTCTATTAAATGAAAATAAAATTTACTTGAAACAAATTAATAATTTAGTGGATTCTGTGACAAATACTCTAATAAACTATTTTTTATTTAGATAAAAAATGTCTTTAGTTGTAGAAGAACATTTTTTAAAGGAATAAAAGAATACTTTCAAACAAAATAAAAATTGTTTAAATGAAATAAAAAAGAAATTCTTGAATAAGACAAAACTATTTAAAAGTAATAAAAAAATTCTAAAAATACATTAAAATATAAAAGATGTGACTGTAAATTTAATATTGTGGGAATTTTATCTCGTAAAAGTATATTTTTACAGCTGTCTTTTGAGCAACACCTCATAGAACTTTATAATAATGGACAAAATAGAATATACTGGACCTGCATATCATAGAAATTTTTCCCATAATGTGGGCCTAGTAAAAATTAAACCCAAATAAAAATTGTCTATCTATTTTTTTTTCTTAAAAGAAATAATTTTTTTCTTCTTCTTCTTTCTTTTGCCTCTTTTTTTCTTTTACTTCTTTTTTCTTTCTTTTACTTTTTTATGTTACTTCTTCTTTCTTTCTTTTTTTTTACTTCTTTATTTCTATTACTTCTTTTTTCTTTATTTTGAATCTCCATAAAAAAAGAAAAAATTTTTTTTTGACTTTTCTTATTTTTATATTAAAGTTTCATAATATTTAAAATCAGTTTTTAATTTTTAATTCTTAATTGTCGAATTTCATTTGCTATGGAATAGTGGCATACAAAAAAAAAGCGTACAACTACTGTGACAGAGAACAGACCCGTGAGTGTATTGGAAGAGGATGTGCTCTGTGATTGACAACACTGTGAAGGGGCAGAGACAGTGGCATTCTGCTGTTGCAACGAGTCCACCTGCTCCTTCTGCGTCCTCTGTTCCTCTGCAAAGCCCATAACCCACGTGTGTTACTCTAAATGTCTAAACTAAAGCAAGTATAAACGAAATTCCTGCCTTCTCGCAATTTCATTTTTAACTCCTATTTTTTTCTCCGCTCTTCATTTATATATTCTCTCTTAATTATAATACTTAGTCACTTAATTACATATACTTATCAAATTACATACTTTATTAAAATAATTCTTATAAATATTATTTATTTATCATTTAAATTTTTATAAATATGTACACTCCAACGCCGCTTTAGCGGACTGTCTGAGGGAGTCCGCTGAAACGACTTTCGAGTGTAATTGTAATAATTTTATTTTTCAGTTGTAGGGAAATATTTCCGTATATTTCACGCTCTTGGGGTTAAAGGTAGAGCCAAATAGAAACTATAATTTTTGAATAAATTTAGATTCAAAATTTAAAAAATTTATACATAAAAAGGTTAATTTAAATAAAACAAAAATTAAAATTTGTTTATAAACATAACAAAAATAAATTGAATACTACGCGTTTCGCATGTAAAATTTGCTAGTTCGAAAAATATTACGCACAAAAAAGTAACAATCGAGCTGATAATTCAATAATAACTAAGAATTTTTATAATAAAAATTGAGCATAAAGTGAATATAGATTCTGGGAAAAAATTGATATTTCAGAGATGATCCCACGCAAGGGACAAACGGCAAGAATTGAATCAATAAATTCAAGGTTACTACCCTGTATATGAGTAGGTAGAAAAAAGGAAATTCTTACCGCCAGTCTTATGGCTAATGTTAAAGGGCATAGAGATTGTGGGGGTGGCCAACATCTTGCAGTAACGCAGTTCATTGTGGGAGGAGAAGAGAAGAAGGAGTATTAAGGGCAGGTCAAAGTCGTTACGATCTTTACATGGTGCTTTGAATGGAAAAACTGACACCGAGACATGTTCGAAAAGACGAAACGGAAAATAACCGACAAAAAAAGTGCGAGCAATATTGTAGCAATTTTTATTTTTTTGATAAAAAAAAATAGTCGCATTTGCTATTAAGATGAAAAAAAAAATTTCGCCCTAAATCAATTTTTTTTTTTTATTTTAAATAGCAGAAAAAATTATTTGAGTCTTGAAATTCAAAAGAATAGACAACGACTTTTTGTGTAAAATAATAAAATAATATTCTTGTATGATATCAATCGGAATTCGGATATAATATTAAAAACTGTATAATACAGCAACAGAAGACAAGGGAGAAGAAAAAATGATTTTTTATTCTGTAAAAATCTATGAAGAATTAGTTTGGAGAGAAGAAATTCTCCAACATTGAAGGGTTAGAAGCGGAAGGTAGAGAAGCGGACCCTCACCACGCGGGGACTTCCCCCACCGCTTGGCCTACGTGGTGGGGGTCGCTTCTCTCCGCCTCGCACTTGCCAACTGCTTACTTGTAGGAAAACTATAAAAATAAAATACCATACTAATAAAAATTCTATTATCAACATCAAATGATTTTTACTGCGTCTACAACTTTTCCAGAAAATTCTAAAACTCTTTTCTATCTAATAATCGCACACTTCCGAAATTTTATGAAATTCTTATAAAAAAGTATCAACACTTACAGAAAAATATTAATATTTTCAAAACTGTATTCATATTTCCAAAAGAAGTATTGGTTAAAAAAAACATTAACACAGTTAAGAAAAATGCTAATCCTATACTTACGAAAGCATATTAATCAAAGACATTTTATTAATTAGAAAAAATATATAATTATACAAAAACTATAGGAACAAAAATGTATTGATTGATAAAAATATTATATTTACAAAAAAGAACTGATTAGAAAAATATTATAGTTAAAAAATATTACTTACTCTCTAAATCTAAATTAGTAGTTTTCCACCAGCAATTAGTAGGAAACTACTTCAAATTAGTCAAAACTAATTCAATTGACTAAGAATACTAATTAAAAGCAGTAAATACAAATAAAAATCAATTTTTTAAAATAAATAATAAAATTTTTAAAAAATAAATAAAAAAAATATCAATACGTACAAAAAATACTACTATTTACAAAAAAATAAAATAGTAGCACTAAAAATTACACAGAGTGAAGGTGACAAAATTAATTTTTTTTTTAATATCGTTAATCAAAAGCCAAAAATTTAACAATGAAAAATTAGATTACCGGCAAAACAGTTAATTACGTATGATTATAAACATATCGATAAATTCCAATCAAAGTTCAAATCACACACGTTGCGCCAAATTGAGTGTATATAAAATATAAATAATGTCATTTGAAAAATAAATATTCATTTATTAAAGAGGAGAGAAGGGGAAAAAATCATCTCGAATTAAAATCTTCATATATATACGATTCTAAATTCTTTCATTGAAGTAAAAAACAATTTTTTTTTTGAAAAATAAAAATAAAATTGTGTAATAAATTTGTAAATTTCCATACATTAAGAAAAGAATGTCAACAATTTAAGTAAATAGAGAACTATTTTTTCAATTAAAATTTCCAACAACGAAATAAACATAACTAAAAGAACTTAATTACCAAATTGACTTGTTTACGCAAAGAAGTTAATCGCCGCAGGAACATTTTCTCAATGAACTAATTGTCTGGCATTGTAATAAACTTATTTAATCGACCTCATTTAATAATAATGAAAAACTAATAATAAAAATAATAAAAATAATAAATATAATAAAAATAACAGTAATAAACTAATGACAATAATAATAACAAAAAGAGTAATAATAAAAATAGTAAAAACACAAAAATATGATAATGAAAATAATAATAACAATAATATTAATAATAGTAATAATAAATGAATTAAAATAAAAATAGACAATAATAATTATTTGTTTATTAATTATTGATAACTAATTATTATCATTGTTATTCTTATTAATTGTGATTACAATAATTGTTATCATTGCTATTACTATTAATTATGATTAAAATTATTATCATTGCTATTATTATTAATTATGATTGTTATTATTATGATTATAATTCTAATTGTTATTAATAATATTAATAATAATATTAATAATATTAGTAATAATATTATTATTATTAAGAATATTATTATGATAATAACAGTTAAAAAACATGAGTCTCAGCTCTAGAACTGATAATTGCAAACAAGAAAAAAAATTTGAAGAAAATCGTAGAAAATTGTTGATAAATAAAAAGAAAGGGAAAGTTCCTTTTGCAAGAATGATTTTTACCTTCATTCAATAAGAAAATGAATAATTTCTGTGTAAGTATATTATCAGTCTGTTTCCTAATACGGCGTACAAACAACTTAATAGCTAATTGCACTTGAATTGCGTGAGTCAGCAATGTTTGTCGCGCAAGAATGTTGCACATTGTTTACCAGTGAATCAGTTGAATGAAAATCATCGCCCGCTGTGTTTTTATATATATACAATACAACATTCTACATATGTAGTATATACATATATGTATAATATATACAATAATTTTTTAATTTTTTTTTAATTCATAAGCTGGTTATAATTTTTAGTATATTATTATTTTAAAAAAAAACTGTTTACAAGGAAAAAGTATTTTTCTTCTTTGACTTAAAACTAGTTTTTGTTCTTTTTAGATTCGAAAAAAGAATTTTCTTTTTTTGATTTAAAACTAATTTTTTAATTTTTGTTTATTTTATTCAAAACTAATTTTATGTTTGTTTTTTTTTATTGAAAACTAATTTTTTAATTTGTTTTTTTTTATTGTAAACTAATTTTTTAATTTTTATTTTTTTAAATTCGAAAAAAGAATTTTCTTTTTTTTTTGTCTTAAAACTAATTTTTTCTCAGAGTTTTTCTAAGGATATCAAATTGAGATAAAAAACTAATCAAAAAGGTTGCTTTGCAACACTTTTGATTCGTTTTTTATCTCAATTTGATATCAGCAAAAAATTGTGAAAAAAAATTTTCTTCGATTTAAATCTAATTTTTTAGTTATTTTCTGAATTAGAAAAAAAGAATTTTCTTCTTTTTGTTTTAAAACTAATTTTTTAGTTACGCTTTTAAATTAGAAAACAAAATTTTTCTTTTTTTGACTTGAAGAAACTAATTTTTTAGTTTCGTTTTTAGATTACAAAAAAGAATTTTCTTTGACGATTTAAATCAACTTCTTAATTAATTTTTTAAAATAGAAAAAAGAATTTTTTTTTTTTTGAAACTAATTTTTTAGTTTTGTTTTAAAATTAGAAAAAAGAATTTCCTTCTTTTTGTCTTAAAACTAATTTTTTAGTTTCGTTTTTAAAATAGAAAAAAGAATTTTCTATTTTTTTTTTTGCATAAAATCAATTTTTTAGTTTCGTTTTTAAATTAGAAAAAAGAATTTTCTTTTTTCGATTTAAATCAAATTTTCAGTTACTTTTTGAATTAGAAAAAAGGATTTTCTTTTTTTTTACTTAAAACTAATTTTTTAGTTTTGTTTTTAAATTAGAAAAAAGAATTTTCTTCTTTTTGTCTTGAAACTAATTTTTTAGTTCTTTGTTAGAATAGAGAAAAGAATTTTCTTTTTTTTTAACTTAAATAAACTAATTTTTTAGTTTTGTTTTTAAATTAGAAAAAAGAATTTTCTTTTTATGACTTAAATCAAATATTCAGTTACTTTTTGAATTAGAAAAAAGAATTTTCTTTTTTCGATTTAAATCATATTATTAGTTACTTTTTGAATTAGAAAAAATAATTTTCTTTTTTCCATTTAAATCAAAATTTTAGTTACTTTTTAATCTAGAAAAAATAATTTTCTTCATTTTGTCTTAAAACTAATTTTTTAGTTTCGTTTGTAAATTAGAAAAAAGAATTTTATTCTTTTTGTCCGAAAACTAATTTTTTAGTTTTTTTTTTTAAATAGGAAAAAGAATTTTCTTTTTTCGATTTAAATAAAAATTTTTATTAACTTTTTGAATTAGGGAAAAGAATTTTCTTTTATTCTCGACTTAAAACTAATTTTTTAGTTTCGTTTTTAAATTAGAAAAAAGAATTTTCTTCTTTTCGACTTAAAGATAATTATTTACTTAGTTATTATTTATTATAATTTTTATTAGAATTTTTATTAAAATTTTATTAGAATTGTAAAATTAGAATAACGAATAAATGAAAAATGTTTGATTATCAACTTACCGAGGGGTGAGAAGCCAAGGAGCTTTTGCCCCGTATGCCGACGGGGTAGAACGGATATTGGTTTACTAGCCTCATTCGCCGATGAACTTCGCATCCTTTGACGTGGTACAACTTCGTCTCGATTTGTATTCGAATTGGTCATGGCATTTAATATAGCAGCGTGCATATTTTGAGCGATATTGTTGTCCTCGGCCTCCATCCAAAATTCACCACCACCCGTTACCGCAGATCTTCCCATTTCCATGTAAAAGATCCTCTCCATAAATCCGCAACGTCTTATCGACACGAGCTATAAAGAAATTTATTTTTTCAACAAAATTTCTTCTTCAGAAAAAAAAACAGAAAGAAAACAACATTTTTCCATTAACCTTTTTTTTTTAGAAAAAAAGAATAATAGAAATAATTTATTTATTATCAAATAATAAATTAAATAATAAATATATTTTTAACTACGACTGAAGAGTTTTGAAAAAGGATCAGATTGATTATGTTTTTTTGGAGAAAAAAAGCAGAATAGTGCACTATAGGTTATTTTTTGTACTTTTTCGAAAAAAACTTAGTAGTGAACCATTGATATTTTTCACAACTCAATTCCAATTTTTAATAAATTGAAAATTTTTTCGAAAAGAGAATAGAAATAAATTACTAACGAATTTTAATTTATCTTCTATATAAATAACTAAATATTATATCAGGTGATTAAATTTCTTTAAATAGGAAATTATCTTCGATTTTTTTTTTAAGAAACTTAGGAAATTCGGAAAATTATTTAAAAAAAAAAAAAATATTTACCGCAGTAAAAAGGTGAAAAAAATTTTCATTTAGTGCACTAATTAAAATTGTTTACATGAATTCGAAAACAATTTGTTTCATTTGATTTCAGTGAACTTGATCTAATCTACGTGTGAGATTTAAGAGATTACGGGGAGTCCAAAGAATTGTGTTTGGAAGATAAGAAGGTGAAAATCACAAAAGCAGAGAAGGATAAGGTAGAAGTGAACCATTGAGATTTTTCACTTCTTGGAATTCTTTTTTTGGGTTTTTTTTATGTATATATAAATCCAGTGTCTAAAGCAATATCACTGGGATTTTTCATTTTTTCTTTTTTCTTGGTACTTTTTTGAAGAAAAAATGAGAGTTTGAAAAAACTAAACTAAAAGGGAAAAATGTGCTAATTACTAATTTCTTAAAAATTTCTAGAAGTAGGAAATTCGAAAGAGGGAAAAAGGATTGAAATTCTATGGGAAAAAATAATTTCTTTTTCAAATTATTGCTAAATTTTATTTCACTTTTTTTACTAATCAACAATTTTTATGTTTGTTAATTTGATTTTTATTTATTTTATAAATTAAACTCAAGACTTTCTGGATTATTTCTCTTATTATAATTTTCAGACTTATTAAATTTTGAAATCAAATTTTATTTATCAAATTTATTTATTTTATTTTCAATTCTACTTTTATTGCTTTCATTTTTAATTTTATTTTCATTGATTTCATTCTCAATTTTTTTTTCAATTGCTCAATTTTCAAAAGTAATAAAACAAGTCAAAATGTGTTAAAAAATGTTTTCGTATGATTCAAATTTTTTTTTTTTTGTACTTTTATATTGAATTTAAATAATTACGATTTACAGTATTAAAGATAAAAAAATTTAGGCAAAGAATATTAGGACAAAATTCGGTGAGAAATTTGAGAAATAAACTTACTGGAAATTCGATAAAATCAGACTTATTATTTGCTCCAACTTTGTAGAAAGTTACGGCAGAATCCGTGAGACATAATCTGTATGGTCCTTGGATGTTTTTACGCTCACCTAGTCCTTTTTTCTGCATAGTTACCTGCCACACGTGCTCTACAAGAAGAAAGAGAAGGAAAAAAAGGAAAAACGAAAAGATTATTCAATTGTATTCAAAAGTACAATATACTTATTTTTACTAGTCGACAAAATATTTAAATAAATTTATTTTTTATTAACCCGCAGTGAAGAAATAGTGTCAAATTCAGATTCGAGTACTAATTACAGTTAATTATAATTCAATAATTATCCTAAATTAAATTAAATTAAATTACAAATAATTATTATTCTCTTAATTACAAAAAAGTTTTGAAGTTTTTAATTATGAAAAAGGTTTCGAAGGGATAAAATGGTTTTTTAATTTCTTCACTTGAGAACGCCAAGGTCACCGCCAGGTGGCAGAGAAAATTCCAAGAAGGGACTGAACTGCCATCTAGTGGTGACCTTGGCGTTCGCAGGTGGAGAGCAGCGACTCCATATTGAATCTCAAGATGTTCTTAATTCTATAAATATTTATTTTTTTATTTAATTTAATTATTTATTACAATATAGAGAGTATAAAAAATAATTTGATTCAATTCTTTCATTATTTGATAATAAACAAATAATCAGTTATTTGAATTAAAATAAATAATTAAATAATAATAATTTAAATAAATTTTTATCAGTTTATATTATATTGTGATTATATTATATTATAATTATATTATAATTATATTTTAATTATTATTATATTGCACTCTCTATTTTACCAGACCCGAATTTTCTAAAATATATTTTTTTAGCAGTTTGAGGAAAAAGAAAATGGTTAAAGTGAGGTAAAAAAAAGATGCTTCAAAAGTCAAAAGGCAATGTGGCAGTACAATAATTTGGTTGTCATCGTATTTCATTTTTGTAATGAATGCTTTAATATCATTATTATACATTGTACTGCCGTTTCCTGTACTTGAGACTAAGCAACTGAGAACAGAAAATAATTCTAGTTTATTACGAACAATTTAACCAGCAAAGACTTATAATGTCATGCAGGTATACACACACTCCTCAGAAGTGGATCTTCTTCTTTTTTACATTCGACTTCTATTCTCCACTAGGCATAACTTTTACAATCAATATTCAACAATTTCAAATTTTCATTTTTGAAAATCTCTGCAAAATCCGGTTTCCTTTCTTTAAAAAGAAAAAAAGCTAATTTCTACTCACTAAATTTTAATATTTGTAAAAAATATTTACTAATTTGAATTAGTAACTGACTTTTTGCTTTTGAATTAGTAAATAGCAAATAGTTTTACTAATAAATAGTAATTTTTACTAAACTAGTAAAATTTACTAATTCAAAAGCAAAAAACAGTCAGTAATTTAAATTAGTAAACATTTTTACTAATTCACATTTGGAGAGTAAAGAAACATTTTACTTTTTTTTTAGAAAAATATCAATTTCTTTTATATTTGTAAATATTTTTTGTTAGATATTTTATTATGTATTATTTGTATTATATGGAAAGTATTTCATTAAAGAATTTTGTCAAAAAGTTCCAAAATCGTAAAAAAGTGTTTAAAAGTTCGTAAAAGTACAGGAGAAGCGGCTCCCCACCACTCCGAATCTCAAAGAGTGAAGGGGTGGGGTGTCGCTTCTCCCAGTAGGAAAAAAAATAAAAATATCAATACCAAAAGTAGGACGCGGTTGTTCTCCATCAGGTTGTCCACCATTTTGCAGCAATAACATTGAATTAAGCCAATCGCCAAGATCCTTCTCCGTATCAAGAACCAAGCAAAAGCACTCGTCCTTTGTATAAAGTGCAATGACATTTTTCTGCTTAATATCACCGCGTTTATTAATATTAAAACAACTGTGCAATGATATCTGTCTTTTTGGTGGTTGACGATTTTCAAATTTTTTCTTACTATCATAATATTCAAGGCATGCTGGACAACCGGGCGCTTCTTCACGTAATACAAAATATTTTTTCTTTAATGTTTTCAATTTTCTCAAATGTCCAGAGCGTATAACATTGCCAGTCGATGGTGGTACCAGGATTCTGCTCGAGGACATTGTCGTTGTCGTCGAGCTTAAGAAACCCGTTTTTGTAAACACCCCACGACACTGATTCCCATATGATGCGAAGCACCATTTACACGGTACTTCACCAGTGAAACGGGTCACATTCGTCTTTCCCCTTAAACTCGACCCACGTCGGAGTCGAATACCGTCAATTGTAAGCGATGACGAAAACGTGATGAAAATCGTTTAAAAATCGTTGACACTCTCAAAATTGTTTTTTTTTCTTTTTTGACTAGTAGAATCTGAAAACAGAAAAAAAATAGTGTTTCGTTATTTATTTTTGGACGAAAGTCTCTATAAAAAGAAAAAAAAAAGAAGGAAGGAAGGAAGGAAGAAAAACAAAACGAAGCAAGGAAATAATTTTTAAAATAGAAATTAGGGTTTGTTACCTAATGGGACATTTTTTTCACAGTCGGATTATTTTAAACTCCCCCCTTAACAGAAATACCCCCTCCCTTCGTTTCTAATTCGATTTTAAACAGTTACTTAATTGCATCGACTTTTAAAATCTCTATTTCGTACGAAATAATAGTTCCTATTGATTATTGTCCATAAATATTTTTATGAGTGCAATTTATAAATACTGTTGGAACTTAATAATAAAAAAAAATACAAAAAATATATATATATATGTATATACAAATATATATATTATTGAAAGTTCTGTTAACATTAATTATTCATGAGTTAATTAAAATATTTTCAAACTATTGAATTTGAGAGCAAGCTATGAGATCAGAATGTGATTTCCAAAGCCGCAGGCATTTTGAGAAACAGAAAACAGGTTTTAATGTTAGAGAAGAGAAAACAATTTTCAAATTTCTTTAAAAAAAAAAACAAAAAAGAAGTTTTCGAGAAAAAAAAGTATTTTTTTTTCTATTTTTGTTTTCAAAACTTCATTTCAACAACATTTATTGTCATTTTTCTCTAAAATAAAAAAAAATTTCAAGGTAAAATCAATAATGAAAAACAAAGGAAAAAAAAAATTAAGAACAAAACATAAAAACGAAAATTATATTTACAAATTAAAGAAAAAATCTTTATCCAATAATCTTGAAATGAATTTCTAAGTATAATACATTATTTACAAAATTTAAAAACAAAAAAAAATAATAGAAAAACAATTTATTTCGTTGAAAAACAATCTGCTACTCGTGATTTATAATGCGGAGATAAAATCAAATTATAATGACTCAAGATGAGTGAAAAATTTCATCAAACAAAAATTAGTAATCAAAAAAATCATATATAGACTCAGTTCAAAGGTTTTTTTCCCCCAAAATTTTTTTAAATTTTGTGAATTTAATTTGAATTGAAATTTAATTTAATTTAATAATTTAAATTTGAAAAATTAAATTAAATTAATTTATAATTTATAATTTATAATTTATAATTTATGATTTATAATTTATAATTTATAGTTTATAATTTATAATTTATAATTTATAATTTATAATTTATAATTTATAATTTATAATTCACAATTCATAATTTATAATTATAATTTAATTTAATAATTTAAATTTGAAAAATTAAATTAAATTAAATTTGTTTAAATATTCAATTTTAATTAAATCGTCGATATATTGAAATTTAAACATTTAATTTAGTGAAAATTAATTAACAAAGTAACATTCTTTCCTCCTTTACGATAATAATGATAAGATTATTAGTTGGAAATTATTTATTCTCAACGAAACTAAAACAAATGTAATGAAAATAAAACAAAATTATTGTATGAATTTATTTATTTATTCATTAATGAATAAATTAATAAATAAATTAGCGAGCCCCCGGTTCTAAGGAAAAAATCAAATCCAAATATTTACTATTGTAGTCAAAATATTTTGATAATTATTTTGATAATTAAATATTTGTAATTATCCCTAATAATTTAACATCATTAGGTTTTGATGCAAACAAAGTATAAAGTTAATATTCTTAAGACAAAAAAAGAAAAAAAATAGTGAGAATTGGAACAAAGATACCTATATATTTATATATAAATGTTGTTAACATGAAGGTTAAAATCTTATTGCGCTTAAATGATTTCTTTGAATTATTTTTCAAAAGCAATTAAAGTTCCATCTATTATTATCATTAGTGTTTATTAAATTCTCATTAACAATAATAACAAAATAATAAATAAATAAATATTTAAATACTTTGTGCAAGTATTCAAATGGTTATATTCAATAAATCCAAAGTGATTTTATTTTTCATTAAATGAAGTTAACTCTCGAAACTTGAATTAGTAAAAATAAAAATGTTTACTAATTTGAATTAGTGACTGACTTTTTGCTGTTGAATTAGTAAATTTTACTAATAAATAATAATTTCTATTAATTTATTAGAAGAATTTACTAATTTCATTTTTTTAGTAAAATTTACTAATGAATTATAATAAAAATAAAAAAAAATTATGATAAAAAAATATTAATTTGAATTAGTTATTGACATTTTGCTTTTGAATTAGTAAATTTTGCTAATAAATAGTCATTTCTACTAATTTATTAGTAATTTCCACTAAATTTATTATTACAATTTACTAATAAATTATAATAAAATTTTTAAAAAAATTATAAGAAAAAATACAAATTTGAATTTGTGAATGACTTTTTGCTTTTGAATTAGGAAATTTTACTAATAAATAGTAATTTCTACTAATTTATTGGTAACATTTACTAATTCAAAAGCAAAAAGTCAGTCACTAATTCAAATTAGTGAACATTTTTACTAATTTAAATTTAGAGAGAACATAGTAACTATACTAGTAACTTTTTTTAGTATAATTAATATGTACTTTAGAATTTATTTTTTTTTCAAGAAAATCTAATGATCGTCTCTTAATATTTATTATTATTATTATTATTATATTAGCATATTAAAAATTTTTTTTTTATTTCGTATTTTATTTTAATATAATTTTTAATAGATAGAAACTTGACTAACTTAATATTAACAACGTTATACCGCACAACAATGAATATTTTTCCTCAACAATTCTTCTATACTAAATGATTATAAATATACTAATAAATTTAATGATCGAATCAGAATAAATCTCATTTAGATTATATTTTTTTTCTTTTTCACAGAATAATTTAAAATAAACAACGATAATAGATATAATAAATCAATAGAATGATAAAATACATATTAATGTCTGATTATCATCATTATTATTAAATTTCTATTGTAAAAAATGGATATTTTATTGATTTTAATTTTACCCTGCGATAAATTATAAGTTTAACAAAAATATATACGTAATCGAATATTTTTTTCTAATCAAGATATTATAACATGAATATACATATATATTTTTGAGAAAAACTAAAATTATTATTAAGAAAATTACAAAACTACGTCATTCTAACTATATACACACACATACACAATAAACAGACTCGATTCTTTATCGCGTAAAATGATAATACTTTAAGTAAAACTAATAAAAAATTAGCATAAAATTTAAATAATTCCAAATAACATATATTATTTTCTTTTGAAAATATAGTTGTAAATTTTATTTATTGAATGGAAAAAAATAATTTTCAATTTCCATATTGTTCAACTTATTATATTTCCAATTTTTTTAAAAATTCTTCAAACTTCATTTATCGTTAAATTTTATAATTTTTCTTATTAGTTTAGAAAAACATTCGAGTATTAAAAATAAAAAACAATTTTTTCATCTATTGGTGACAATAATTAATAAGAAACTAATTTACTATAAGAATCTCGCAAAACTGACCTCACCTAATGCATTGACCGTTCTCTGAGACATAATACACTATACTGAATCAAATGAGAGATAAATTTAATAAAATGTTTTTGAATCAACAATTTTTATGCACTATTTATTATCTTAATCTGAGTTGGCGAAAAATTATCACTCAATCTTAGTTAAATTTTTATTTTGTGAATTCTCAATGTCTTTTTAGTTTTTACTAAATGTTGAATAATGACATTAGAAAATGTACTCAACATTAAATAACGTACTGCGTATCAATATATTTAAATATATTTAAAAATTATTTATTTTATTAAATTATATATATTAAATTTTATTATATATATTTTATATATTAATATTAATAATTATTATTATTTATTTATTTTTTATTTATATTTAAATATATTTATAATATATATAATTTATATATATATATATATAGGGGAATGTAGTCAAGGTTGGCCTACTGTCTAGGTAGGCCACTCGCGTTTTTTTGTCAAGTTCACTAGCGCCACCTACGCGCATTTTTGTCGAAGCTTGTCTTAGTGAAACCTAACTTTTTGTTCAATTACATTTTCGGAAAATCGAAAATTGTGTTTTCTGTGACGTCGGTACAAAAAAAGCTCAAAAAAAGTTTTGTGCATAATGTGAAAAACCATTAATAAAAGATAAAAAACAAATTGAATCGTCAAGGCAAGTATGCAGAAAATTTGTGGGACTCATGGTTGAAAGGAAAACAAAGTAAAAAATCGAATCCCGAAACGTATTTCTTTTTGTTTACAACAATTCGGTAATGTTACTTACTGTCAAGGTCGGCCACTATGTGTTTAAAATGCGCAAAGTTGAGGACGAGCTACTTCATTTGCAAAAACTGCAATTCTGTATAACTCATAATATAATTGATCATCTTATTAATATTTTTATTTAATTTTATTAATATTTTAGTGCAAAACTTTTTTTTATTTATATTTATTTTTTTATATTGTTTATTGTTATTATTTTGTTATTTCATTAAGTTACAAACTGTAAACAATAAAGAATCAATTTTCCGTAACTCCAAACATGTTATTTTATTTTTTAACGATTAATGCCCTTTGAATTTTAAACATGGCCGACCTTGACTGTAATGGCCAACCTGGACTACAAATTTTTTTTTTTTTAAATCTTTATAACTTTTTCATTTTTAAACCTGTCAATTTACTTTGTACAGAAAAAATGTTCCTATTAAACAGGACTTTCCAACCATATACTTCAATTGTCCAAATTCATTTTTAAAAAAAAGTTATAAACAAAAGTCAAAAAGGTGGCCGACCTAGACTATGTTCCCCTATATATATATATATATATATATATATTTTTTAAATATATACGTATCAATGTATTTTTAAATACCCTACAAAATAGTTATAATAATTTAATAGTTAACTCTCTGCTGATGCTAACTTATCCCCACTCTATCGCCAAAGAACGTAACTCCCATAGTCCCCACCAGGCGTCCAGAATGACGATTTTTGACGATAACGGTCGTTAGCATCAGCAGAGAGTTAAACAAAAATTTTCAAACAAAAAAGTTGAGAAAATGTCATTTTCCATAATTTTTGGTTTTTAAAATACCAATAATTTCGAAATTTATTATCGAATTAGGTTCAAAAATAGGGCAATAAAAGCGTTTTTTAATTATCTACAAGTAGGTAACGATAATTTTAAAGTTACTTCTACATTTTTGAACAAAATTTTAAAAAAAGTCTTATTTTTCAAAATGTTTGATGTTTAAAAGTTTAATATCTCCGGTTAGTATGGACGAAAAATGTTTAATTAGGGCTCAAAAGATGCGTCTAAAAAAAACTCTACAAAACTATGGAAAAACATTTATAGGTGTCCTAACATTTTTTTAAAGTTATGGGCAAAAAACGTTTTTTTCAAAAATTAAAAATCCAAAAAAAATTTAGTAAAACATTATTAATCTATCTCAAAGTATTCTCATTTTATGTCCGCAGATGAGATCTACAATTTAAAAAAAAATTTAACCCAATCGCTCTTCATGATTTTGAGATATTTATGAAAATGTGATGTTTACACACACACACACATACGGAATGACATTTTTTAAAAACCGCTGTCAAGTTGTATATTTTTTTATAATTTTTATGCTCATTTCATGAACACTTTTCTTCCTCATAGAGATAATAATAATAGAAATATATGAATAACTTTTAAAAAATATGGTAAAAGTGATTGATTCTTGGGTCAATCAATGTATTTTTAAATACCCTATAAGATACCCTATATGATACCCTATATGATAGTTTAATAGTTAAGCAAAAATTTTCAAACAAAAAAGTTGAGAAAATATCATTTTCCACAATTTTTGGTTTTTAAATAACCAATAATTTCGAAATTTATTATCGAATTAGGTTCAAAAATAGGTCAATCGAAGTGTTTTTTAATGCTCTACAAGTTATGATAATTTTAAAGTTACTTCTACATTTTTCAACAAAATTTTCAAAAAAGTCTTATTTTCTAAAATTTTTGATTTTTAAAAGTTTAATATCTGCGGTTAATATGGACGAAAAATGTTCAATTACGGCTCAAAAGATGCGTCTAACTAAATACTGAATGTTAAATAAAATACTAAATGTTAAAAAGAATACTAAATGTTAAACAAAATACTAAACGTTCATTAAAAATACTAATCAATCATTAATATACTAATCAGCAAATAACATACACTAAACATTAAATAACATATTAAACATTAAATTAACTATTAAATAATAAATATCATATTAAACAATAAATAAAAAATAAACGTTAAATAAAATACTAAATGTTAAATAAAATACTGAACATTAAAGAAAATAGTAAACATTAAATAACATACTAAACATTGAATAACATACTAAACATTGAATAACATACTAAACATTAAATAAAATACTAAACATTAAGTAACTAGTAATAAACAGTAGTATAACTTCCGAACACAATTTTTCTCCTACTTCAGATTAATTTGTAGCAAAATATATATTAAATTACTTAAAACTATCACACGACGTATATACGCACACGATACTGTAATTGTTATTAATTCCCTATTTTTTTCTAGTACATTACACACATGTCTTTTCACTCTTGAAATTAGTCATGGTTTTCAATTTGTTAGTAGTAGCATTATTTTGTTATCTTATATTCACTTCTTGCATTCACATGTGCCATATAATGGTATATTACATATAGAGAACCCACATAAAATGCTTCGCTAGTTCCTTGATGGGTTCCCATGTGGGAATACATACAAAATTCAATATAAAATAATCTATCAATTTTAGACACACATTTAGTGTTTACATAGACACATGTTTCCTTTAAAAAAAAAAAAAATCACACGATTTATGTGAATGAAAATTTCCCACAGGTCAATGTCATTTTTGCAGAATAGTAACATTCCTATAACTATATTATTACAAAATTAAGCTAATTTGTTAACCTTAAAATATGATGATATTTTCCATCATATTTTAGAGTTATTCACAAAAAAATTAGCTTAGTTTATTTCATACTTTAAGAAAAAAAATGATCTTTTTTCCTAATCCAAAGTTAATCTAATTTTTTGTGAATAACTCTAAAATTTGATGAGACCCATCATATCTTAGAGTTATTCACAAAAACTTAGCTTAATTTATTTTATATTTTAAGAGAAAAATAATCTATCAGTGAGATGCAAAAATTTTTATATTTTAAAAATTAATTTATAGTCACATGCTAATGTTTGAATTCTGGTCTAAAATTGATATGTATTATTTTATCATATTCCATAGGGATCCGCACATTAGAAACTAGTCCAGTATATGAAAATTTTAGTTTTTCTAGTTAGTACTATTTTTAATAGAAGTAGTAAAAATACTTGTTTTTCTATCAGAAATAAAGTAGTAGTAACAGTAGTAGTTCTTGTTATTGTTGTATTAGTTGTAACAATGTTAGCATTAATAGTAGTTTTTGTGGTAGCAATAAAATAGTAGTAGTAGCAATATTAGCAATAATACTAGTAGTTGTTTTTGTTGTAGCAATAAAGTAGTAGCAGCAATATAAGCAGTAACAGTGTTTGTTCTGGTATTGTTTCACTATTTGATATTGTTTACGATTGTTATAGTAGCAATAAAGTAATAGCAGCAATATTAGCAGTAACAGTGTTTGTTTTGGTATTGTTTCACTATTTTGTATTGTTTACGATTGTTATAGTAGCAATATAGTAGTAGCAGCAATATTATCAGTAACAGTCTTTGTTTTGGTATTGTTTCACTATTTTGTATTGTTTACGATTGTTATAGTAGCAATAAAGTAGTATCAGCAGCAAAATTAGTAGTAATAGTAGTTTGTTTTTGTATTGTTTTACTATTTTGTATTGTTTACTATTTTGTATTGTTTACTATATTGTAGTAGCAATAAAGTAATAGTTGTAACAATGTTAGCTTCAATAGTATTATTTGTAATATTGTTCTTGTAATTGTTGAATAAGTAAAGTAGTAGTAGTAGTAGCAATATTAGCAGTAATAGCAGTTCTTGTTATTGTTGTAGTAGCACTGATATATAGACCAAAGTTACACTATATTGTTAAAACTTTCATCTGTCAACCATTTACGGTCTATTTGAACTGCGGAGAAAGTGTTGAAATAAACAAATAACTTTTTCAATAATTAAAAGTATGAAAAAAAAAGTTTCAGTTATTTGTTTACATCAGTTTTTACTCTCGGCAATGTTCAATTAGCGCACAAGCCTATACAGAGTAACCCATGCTGGCAAATTCATTGACACACTTGAGAAATTTTCGTCATTCACTTTGGATAAAAAAAATATAACGTCATTTATGAAATCCGATCACTTATCATTCCTCGACAATCAAAATATTGACGAAACGCACCTCATACATTCCATTCAGTTCACAACCATCTGTAAAAATGATTTTTTTTTATGAAGATGATAAATTCCACATATATAGCCACATTTAGGGTGTAACAACATAAACATCAATGCAGATAATCTAATCTATAAAAAATCAATTGAAATGAGTGAACTTAAGGGGGGAAAAAAACATTGTGAGCCTGATGCAATAAAAATGTCTACTCGAAACTCGGAAATGACTGTGAAAAAGAGGACAAATTCCAGAAGAATCCGGACTTGAAACTTCCGTTAAGGCCTATCAATGAAACCTCTCTACATTCACTCTACTATACCTGTGCGTTCGTTCCCCCGAGGAAAAGTAAACATGGACGATCAGAGCAGGCCGCGTTCAATTCGGAGGCTCTTCTTCCCAGAAACGCCACAGAGAAGCGACAAGCGACGTCGTCCGCGCAGCGAAGGGCGATGCCGAGGGCTGCAGACACACGTGTCGTTGGGGTAAAAAGTAAATAAGCACTCGTACTCACGCACGCCACCACGGGTGCATAAGCACTCAGCGAGTTGCATCAAGGGCGTCTCACCCTCCTCACACCCCCCTCCCAGTTTTACAACCCGATCGAAATCAAATGCTCCCGTTTCGGAGGTTAGGGAACGCCTAAAATCGCCTTGCGTCGATTTTTTTTTCCTCTCTTGTCACTCCTGACCGACGCCAGTCGACTTATTTCTTATAACACAAAATTTCACTATACGATCAAATATTATGAAAATATTAGCAATATTTTATAACAAAAACATTTAAAATAATTTTTTCTAAGTTGTTTCTTCCAAGAAATCAAAAAAATTTGAAATGTCAATATTTATAAAGCAGAAAAAAAATATTTCAGAAAATCGATCAAGTACTTTTTTTCAGGTCACGGATAAAGTCAACACATTACGTCTTTCACAAACAGGAAAAAGTCTCAATTCCCTTTTAAAGGAAAATAAAAAAAAACTGATGTATTCTTAATTCGGATAAAATTCCTTTTTTCTCCGGATTTTAAATGTTAACACACAGACACGTTTTTTTTTTTTTTTTTGAAAATGAGAACAAAGTTGTTATGGAGCAGAGAGCGAAGCAAACAACTGAATCGCCACGAGGCGACGTACGTCGCACTTAGTGCGTATTATTGTACACCTGTTTACTTGAACGAACGCAATTTGCGGTGCGCTACTCGTCGCGACGTCTTATTCCTGACTAAAGAGATATATACACATATAACACACACTCGGATATCGCGCCCTGGCTCGTACGCAGCGGCCTACAACGGATAAATAGGCTATTGCCAAGGGCAGAAATATTTTTCATGCGCAATGCTTAGTTTAAGGGGGGAAAAAAACACACGCGAGGCACACACTATTATTTTCTTCTTTTTTTTTATTATTTCACATCAATTATATTTTCAAAAATAAATGTCTCTTATTATTGAATTGCACTGTGTTGAAATCCAGGATGTAAACATAACCTCCCCCCCGCCACCAGGTCGCCCGGTCCGGTGCCACGCTTTGCACTGCGGAGATGGAGCGAAATATGCGCGACATTTACATCTGCCTCGAGGTGGATGGTTCGTTGCACAAAATAATCATTTTTAAGATTTAAATCCTCATTTGATGTACACAACACTATCGTGATATTGGAGAAGAGACTCTTTCGGTGGAATTTCACAACAACCGAGGGCGACTTTCTCACGATGAGGAATGTCACGAGCGAGATGAAAGAACTCAATTTTTTTTTATCCAACTCAGACGTTAGGCAATAAAACAGGCACTTGCGTCCATCTTGGAAAGGTCATGTGTATGGTAAGCTCACAAGTTGTAAACAAGATTTGCGCAGGCGTGAAAAACATGATTTTCTTGTGAGAAATACTCATTGCGATTGCGCGAAATATAGACCTTTTGTTATTGGTTCATTAGTAGCGGGAAATTTGAAATATTTACTAAAATTGAAGAGAGCCGGTAAATTCTAGATTAAAAATATTCGTACATTGGTGGTGTGAAAGTGATATGTGTCAACTTACTTGGAATTTATAAAAGAAGACTTTTAAAATAGTTTGTTTTTAAGTATAACGAAAGGCATGGAAGTCACTTACCATCGGAATCGAGTGTAAACAACACTGCTGACTCCATCTGTCGAGGAAACGTCGAAACCCGTATCGAGTTGGTAAACAGTTCCTTGGGTAACCACTGCGCTTACTACCAGCGCAACTGATGATAATTCACCGCCAAGGAGAATATACTTCAGGGACTTCAGGTTTGACATAACGGGCCAAAGTGTGCGACAAGAAGGTGGACTGAATCGTAACAAATAACAACACTTCGGATATGAATACTTATGGAAACGGATTTTTAAGAGACAATGGACAAATAGGTGAGTAGAAAAATGTAAATTAAAAACAATTTCTTTCATTTATTTCAGATGTTATAAAGAATCTGATTTTCGACAAATAATACGACAGTACTTTGGTAAGTAGAACAATGTATATTATTATATTAAGAACTAAATTTTTTTCTATTTCAGAGTTTACAGAAGTTTTTTCTTTTCCTTTGGAAGCGGATTTCTGACTGACAGTAGGACAGTGAATTGGTAAGTATAAATTGAAAAGGTTAAATACTAATTTCTTTTTTTTCGTTTCAGATACTGCGCAAAGAACTTTCATTCCATTGGAAGCGGATTTACGATTGACAGTGATGAGACACTGAATAGGTAAGTATAAAATAAAGGGGTTAAAACCTAATTTCTTTCCTTTTTTCAGATGCTGCAGAAGAAGAATTTTCGATTAACAGTAGGACAGCGTATTCCATTGGAAGCGGGCAGTAAATAGGTAAGTAAAAAATAAAGAGGTTAAAACCTAATTTTTTAGCTTTTTTCAGATGCTGCAGAAGCGGATTTCCAATTGACAGCGAGACGCAATGAATAGGTAAGTTAAAATAAAGATGTTAAAAACTAATTTCTTTCTTTTTTTTAGATGCTGCAGAAGAAGCGGATTTTCGACCAACAGTAGGACAGCACAGCGTATTCGGTAAGTAGTAAAACGTAAAGAATACACATTAAATTCCGTTTTATGTTTCAGAAACTGCAGAAAAATCATCAATATAGGGGTTTTTGTTAGAGAACTAAATCGTAAAAATACTTCGAATATTTTCACTAATTCAGAAGCAATTTTCCGACTGAATTGTCGATGTCCTTCGGTTGAGTATGAAAACATACGCCGCACACGACAATTCTTCGAACCACAGCAAGCTCTGAGTTGAATCGACTCATTTCCCACCGGTCTACTCTCAAACTGCTCCGATCTTACCGTAGCAATCTATGCTTTACGGACTCGCTATATGGGCATGCTCAACTACCACCAAGGCACCAAATACAATAAACAGTAAAATATTTTTCTCAAAGAAAATTAAAACGTAAAATCTCTTAAATAAGCAATTTACTATTTAAATAAATTATTCCAAATTTTGACAATTCGAATAATTTTTCTAACTTTTGGAAATTAAATATCGAAACTTAATGGTTAAATTAAATATTATTCTAACTTTTAGCTATTTGATGAAATAAACGTAAACATCACTTACTTTATCGAAACTCCATAAAAAACAACAAAAAATGTTTATTCAAAGGTGGAAAAAATAAGTCGATTCAATTTCAAAGTTAAAAAAATATTCTCCTGTCAATTCAAACTATTGCGGCTATTTAAAAATGGTTTCTGTTTAAGATTTTCGGGTCTTCATACCCTTAACAATTTTTTTGTTTAAAATTGCTGTGAAAATCAATTTTTTAATGCGTAAACATTAAATATAATCTAGTCGTTCATTAATAATACAAAGTGTCCATTTAAAATAATGACAAATTATGTAAGTAAACGTTAAAATAATTTATAATCATTACTTTAAGGTTAGAATGCTATAAATTATTTTATTGGTTACGAACCTTCCATCCCAGACATTAAAACTTTGTGACGTAAATCATCTTCTTTAACTCTGAAATATTATTTTAGCGAAGTGTCGACTCTTAGTGTATAAAGATCGTCTGGTAAATGTTATCTGAGTAAAGTGTTTTCAAGATAAATAAATAAGTGCTTTGAAAATTTTTTTTTGTAAAAATTTTCAATTATCCGGAATGCGTCTTTTAATTGGATTAAATACCGAGAAAAGTCGGTCTTTTTTGTTTTACTTACAACAAAGAAGTTAATATATAATAAAATAAAGAAAAAAAGGTGGGGAAAAAAAATAGTAAAGTGAAACTTAATTGTGCTGGAGTGAAACCGGGTGTTGGATAAGGGCCAATTAGTTTTTAAAATTCATTAACATGTCCACCGTCATTGAAGAGTTCAACTACCTGTGTCGTCTGTGTGCGACGAAACTCCTCATGGGTTTGCCGATTTTCGATACCGATAAGCAGATGAGGAATATCGACAAAAAAATTACAACCTGCTTATCCCTACAGGTGAGAAATTAAAAGAAGAAATGAATTTTTTTTTCAAGTTGTTTTCAATCTTCGGTAACTATTAATAGTTTTTTGTCTTAAATTTCAGACCGTCTTTTGTATATCCAAATTTAGGTTTTGAATTTGATTCTCAAGATCCTAAATATCCTTTCGATGGGAGATGATTATTCAGGATAACCCTGGGATCTTTTGGGGATATCCTTAGGGTGTTCTAGGGTTATCCTAAATATCACTGTATTATTAGTTTCTGATAACATAATTTTGAGTTTTTTTTTGTGTTATTAAGGAGCGGTGATGAATTTTAATACAAAATCTATTGAATATGTAAATATGAAAAAAGGCTTGGCTCGTAAATAACTTGACTGTAAAATCTTTTCATAGAATGCAAAAATCTTAAAGTCTGTTTTATCATAAAGTATTAAAATTAATTTTCTTCCACTGAAGCTACTTCTTTAAAATCAATTCTTTGAAAATTAGTTTTAAAATTCTTTCTAAACTAATTATTTTAAAATTAGTTCTGTCAGAAGTAATTCTTTTAATAATTGGCCCTGTCAAAATTATTTCTTTTAAAAATTAGTTCTAAAATAAATTCTATTAAAAATTAGTTCTACAATGAATTCTACTAAAAATTAATTTTAAATTGCAGGTATCGATGAGTGATCAACTGCCAAAAGTTATCTGCGGCGAATGTGCATTTAAATTGGAGGAGTTATTTGATTTTCGTGAAAAGTGTCTCAACACTGAGGAAATGTTCACGGGAATGTTGAAGGAAATCACAAAACAAGAAGACGCAAATATGGAGCATCATCTAAATATTGAAATTCAATCAAACATTGAAGAAATACAAACTCATGGAACAACAAATCAGCTGAATGATGAAATTCACACAATGCAAATAATGGACGATATGGATTTAGCCGGTGGTGAACAGGTTGTCACACAAGAAGAAATAAATCATCAAGATGATGATCTCGAAGTCACTGATATTGATTGTCTCGATGGTGAAACAGTTCGAATGGTCGATGAACATATTCGAGAAGTAAACATTATTTTCATTCAATTCAATTTAATTCTTTTTTTCATTCATTCAATTCAAAATCTGATTATTAAAAATAGAATTGGTTACAATTTGATATTTTTGAGTTAACATTCAATGTTATTAATATGTGTTAACATTACAGGTTTCAAATCATCAGATCGCGATGCATTTGGAAGGAGATATGACAGTGGTTGGGAATTTAACTGTTCAGGGACATTTAGATCCACTTGAAATTAATTATGTCACGACGATTAATCCCAACTCCAGTGGCGAACAAATAGTTCACTATTGCGAAAGCGTTAAATATGAACCACTTACCGTAAAAGATGAATTTCGTAGGCTACAAGAGAGCCTTAATGTCGAGTCAACGACTCGTGTTATTGAAAATAACGTAAGTTATGAAAATCTAATTCATAATTTTTAAATACTTTCAACTGGTTCGAGTTCTGAAGTAAAACAGAAAGTAAGTAATAAAGTAGAATTAACATATTTTTTTCTGCAATATTTTTCAGGTGAGTACAGAAGATTTTTCCACAACGCACAAAACAAAGGAAACATTTAACATTCCGAGTGAATCGTTAAATACAACGACAGTAACGGAACTTCCCTCAACAAGTCAAGTGAACACTGAAAATTGTCTAGTTGTTGAGTATTCAAAACAGGGGAAAAAGGATTTATTTGATTCAATTCTTGAGAATCCGACAATAGACGCAAACGGAGTGAATTGGTACGTTTGTCCATTTTGCAATGAAGCTGCCTCGGATCCAAATAATTTAATTCCCCATTTTGAGCAGCATTTTTGTAATTGTCCCACTTGTGGTCTTTATTTCACGAGTGTTGAAGTATTGACGATTCATAAGCAAACATGTGAGGAGAAAATTAATTCAATAGACGAGCAGATTGTTGTGGAGGAGAAAATTGATGAGACGGAAAAAATAACGGAAACACAGGACGACGAACAGCAGAAGAAGCAATCAGTTCGTCGGAAGTGGACGCCGAAAATTTGTACCCAATGTGGAAAGCAGTACAGAACAAATTATAAATTGCAGGAGCATATGCGTAAGCATACGGGGGAAAAACCATTTCAATGTTCAATGTGCGAGAAAGCTTTCAGAAGTAAAATTGGATTGGCACAGCATTTTGCGACACACACTGGACAATTTGATTATAATTGTTCGACCTGTGGGAAGGGTTTTCAGTGCAAGAGTTATCTTATTGTACACCAAAGGGTAAGTTTTATTTAACTTTCTCCAGAAAATGCTTCGTACTCACTTTTTTTTAGATTTATTACACTAGAAGCTAATTTTTTCTATGTTTGACAATTTGCATTACTTTGGATTCGCTAATAGTTGAAATAAGAAAATTATTCTCAAAAATTTAAATAACACTCTTAGAAAAAATTCAGAAAATTTTAATAAAATTCTTTCAAACGATTCAATTATTTTCAAAAATTTTTCGAAATTCAATTATTTTCTTAAAAAAATAAAATTTTACAGGAATTAAATAATTTAAAACACAATTTTCCTGAAATTCTTCAAAAAAAATTACTAATTTAAAAAGATTTTTATAACGTTTTTGGTAAAAATTCAATTCTTTTCATAAATATTAAAATTCCCCTCGGGAATTGAATTATTTTAAAAAATTTTCGTTGCAATAATTCAATTATTTTCATAAATAACAAAACTCATCGCAGGATTTCAATTATTTTTAATATAATTTCAAAGGAATTCCTCGAAAATGCAATTATTATTAAAAAATTTATAATTCTCAAAGAATGCAATTATTTTTAAAAATTGTTCTTCTCTAGAATTCAATTACTTTAAAAATTTTTAATAAAATCCGTTGCAAAAATTCAATTATTTTCATAAAATAAATAATAAAACTCAATTATTATTCGTGAAAATTTGAATAAAATTCTTCGAAAAAATTCAATTATTTTAAAAAATTTGATATAATTTGTTTCTTAGAATGTAATAATTATTTTCAATTCATTTTTAATTACATTTCTTGAATAAATTTAATTATTATCAATAATTTTAATTCAGTTATTCGAAAATTACAATTATTGTTACAAAATTTATAATTCTTCGCAAGAATTCAATTATTTTTGAAAATATTTAAATTCTTCTCTGGGATTCAATTATTTTAATAAATATTAAAATTCTTCTAGGAATTCAATTATTTTTCAAATTTTAATAAAATTCGTTTGCAATAATTTAAATTCTCCTCTGGAATACAATTATTTTTAAAGAATTTAGTAATATTTATTCCAAAAGTTCAATTATTTCCATAGTTATTTTTATCAATATGTAAATTCTTCTCTGGATTACAATTATTTTGAAAAATTTTAGTGATATTCATTAATCAAATTTAATTATTTCCATAATTATTTTTATCAATGTTTAAATTCTTCTCAAGATTCAATTATTTTTAATACAATTTTAAGAATAAATTACTCGAAAAATTCATTTATTCTTACTTTATAAATCTTCGCAAAAATTCAATTATTTTTATAAATATTTAAAATCATCGCAGAATTTCAATTAATATTTGTAATATAATTTCGAATAAATTCCTCGAAAATGCAATTATTATTAAAAAATTTATAATTCTTCGCAAGAATTCAATTATTTTTGAAAATATTTAAATTCTTCTCTGGAATACAATTATTTTTAAAAATTGTAATAAAATTCGTTGCAAAAATTCAATTATTTTTATCAATATTTAAATTCTTCTCTGGATTACAAGTATTTTTAAAAATTTTAGTAATATTCATTGCAAAAATTCAATTATTTCCATAATTATTTTTATCAATATTAAAATTCTTCTCAAGATTCAATTATTTTAAAAATTTTTAATAAAATTCGTAGCAAACATTCAATTATTGTTATAACTAACAAAACTCATCGCACGATTTCAAGTTTTTTTAATACAATTTCAAATAAATTCCTCGAAAATACAATTATTATTAAAAAATTTATGATTCTTCCCAAGCATTCAATTATTTTTGAAAATATTTAAATTCTTTTCTGGAATACAATTATTTTAAAAAATTTTAATAAAATTCTTTGTCAAAATTCAATTATATTTGAAAATAGTAAAATTCCTCTCGGTATTCAATTATTTTTCAAAATTTGTGTAGAATTTATTAGAATTGAATAATTATTTTTAATGCATTTTTAATTTAATTTCTTGAAGGAATTTAATTATTTCGAATATTTACTATTTCAATAAAATTTTCTTTTCTTTTATTATTTTTATCTATTGTTTTTTTAAATAATCAAAATTTCACCGGAATTCAAATGTTTAGTTGATTTAATTTAATTTATATAAAACAACTGAATAAATTTAATTTAATTTCAATTTCTATTTTTAATAAAATTTTAAATAGATTATTTAAAATATTTTAATTCCAGTGGAAAAATAAATAGGTATTTAAATATTTATTTTTAAAAAAATTATTCTATTTTTGAATTTCTATTCAAATTAATTTAATTAATTATTTCTATTATTTTCTATTATTTCTAAATGAATTATTTCTATTTTTTAATTTAATTTGAAAATTATGAATAAATTGAGTCGTCAAATTGAGTTTTTCAGTAATTAATTTTTTGCTACTGTTTTTCAATTTTAAAGATACTTTTTTCAAATTAATTATCGAGTACAAAGCCTGCAAGAATATCATCAATATCATCAATTTTTTTTTCACTATAAATATTTTCGTTCCAGGTACACTCCGACCTGAAGCCATATCCCTGCGATATTTGCAGTCAAAATTTCAAAACGAAACAATCACTTCTCGATCATCAAAATCGTCATCTAGGCGTAAAACCCTACATGTGCGAAGTCTGCGGACGAGGTTTCATCACCAAGGGCCTATGCAAGAGTCATCAGAAAATTCACTCCGGCACGGATAATCGTCAATATCCCTGTGTTGTCTGCAATAAAATGTTCGTCAGCAAAAGCTATTTGAACACTCATCTTCGAATTCACACCGGCGAGAAACCCTATTTGTGTGAAGTTTGCGGAAAGGGTTTTCTAACGCGTGTCGATTTGAAAATTCACTCCACCATGCATACAGGTGAGAAGAGTTTTAAATGTGAAGTTTGCGGAAAAGTATTCGCGAGACGTGCCGCCCTACGATGCCATCGAAGATCACACACCGGTGAACGACCATACAGATGTGATGTTTGCGGTAAAACTTTTACACAATTTAGTCCAATGGCAATTCATAAACGTTTACATACCGGTGAAAGACCCTATGAATGTGATGTTTGTGGCAAAGCATTTGTGTCAAGATCAACGATGATGTGTCACAAAAAAAAGAATCACGCCGACGCTCCTCAATCAAAAGATGGTGCGCCCGTCGATAAAAAATGGAAGGCCGGCACTAATTCTCAATCAAAAGCAAATGTAACGCACATACTGGGAGAATAATTGTTAATTTTTAATTGTGTGCTCTTTTTAGAAAAATACATTTTTTCTATTATTTAAACTCCTAAGATTATCCATTCAATATTTTAACATATGCTTCAAATTCAACAAAAACGAAAATAAAAAATAAATACAAAAAAATATTTCGTGCAAAACTGGACCAATAAGTTTTTACTGAAAAATTGTATTTTCAAGTAAAAAATATTAAACGAATGATCAAAATGTTTTGCTTGTGCTAATTGAATGCTTCCATAAAATTAACAAACAAGTTAATTTGCTTTTAGTTCTACATTAGTACGAATCGGCGGAACATTTTTTTTTAAATACTAGTCTTAATTTTTCAAAAATTAGAGTTGCAAAAAAAAGTTGTATTGTATATAAGTTTGTATATGAAACATGTTTTAGCTAAGCAACAATAAGTCGAAAATTTCTTTTGCCCACAGCATCGTATCTTTTGTAAAAATTTACGAAAGTCACATGCTGTTAGATTAACAATTTTTGAAAAACAATCGAATTGAACTAAATTAAAATAATTTTATTTCACTACCAAAATTTGCATAATGTTTTTTAAATAATTTTCCAATGAGAGCTTTTATTCTAAAATTTTTAAATACTAAAAATAGCACAATTATTAAACACTCACTTTTAATAAAAAAGTGGAAATGTACCATTAATGAAAAAAAAAATAGTTATTAAGTAGGCAGATTGTGAATACAATTTTTGTACAAGAAAAAAAATTTTTTTCTGAAAAATAATAACTAGAGATTTTCTCTTTTTTTTCGTGATTTCAAAAAATATTCCATATCTGGATAATTTTGCCTTTTAGTTTGGTTTAAAAAATTTCAACAAATATGGTATATCAAGTGAGTTAATATTGAATTTAAAAGTTCAATGATTAAGTGCCACAATGTGCTTTGCGAGTATTGATTGTTGACTGGAAGAGATTTGTAAATAGTTGATAAGTAATGTTTAACTGTAAGAAAAAAAAATTATTGGCACACTTTTACTTTTGGTACATAGAATATTGTCATTCTTTTTCCGGATATTTATTTAGTGTATATCAACATATCGATATCATTTTTCATTTGTGTATTTACAGTACAGACAAATAAAAATATTTCATAGTAAAAATTTTTCTAACTTCTTCTTCTTTCTTTTTCTTTTTCTTCCTTTTTAGGGTTGCCACAGGTCAGGAAAATCAGGGAAAAGTCAGGAAAAGTAGAGTTGGTTAGGAAAAATTAAGGAATTTTTATTAAACTTTATATATAGTTTCAATTCTAAAAGTTTTAACGCAATTCTTTCCAGAAATTCAATTATTTTCAAAACTTTAAAATAAATTCTCGTCAACATTTCAATTGTCTTTATAATTAGCAAAATTCTTCGTCGAAATTCAATTATTTTCTGAAATTTCAATAAAATTCATTGCAAAATTCAATTATTCTCAAAAATTAAAAAAAAATCTCGTCAACATTTCAATTGTCTTTAAAAATAGCAAAATTCTTCGTCGAAATTCAATTATTTTCAGGAATTTCAATAAAATTCATTGCAAAATTCAATTATTTTCATAAATAATAAAATTCATCACAAAAATTCAATTAATTTCAAAATTAATAAAATTCTTCTATTCAGAAATTAAATTATTTTTAAAATTATAGTGAAATTCTTTTATTCAAAAATTCAATTATTTTTAAAAAATCTAAAAAAATTTTTCATAAACATTTCAATTATCTTTATAAATATATAGTAAAATTCTTTGACAAAATTCAATTATTTTCATAGGAATTTTAATAAAATTCATTGCAAAATTCAATTATTATCAGAAATAATAGTATTAATCACAAGAATTCAATTATTTTCAAAATTGAAAAAATTCTTCACAAAAATTCAATTATTTTCAAAAAATCTAAAAAAAATTGTCAACTTTTCAATTATCTTTATAAATGAAAAGGAAAATTTTTCGACAAAATTTAATTATTTTCAGAAATTTTACTAAAATTCATTGCAAAATTTAATTATTTTCATAAATTTTTCTTAATTCAATAATTTGTATATACCTATAATAAAAATTTTCAAAAGAATTCAATTATTTAAAAACAATTTTGACAAAATTCTTCGCAATATTCCAATTATTTTTATAAATAATAAAACTTATTGCAGAATTTCAATTATTTTTAATACAATTTCTCGAAAAATGTAATTATTCTTAAAAATTTTAAAAGTCTACGCAAGAATTGAATTATTTTCATAAATATTAAAATTCATATCAGAAATTCAACTGTTTTCAAAAATTTCAATAAAGTACTACATAAGAATTTAATTATTTTCATAATTAATAAAACTCATCGCAAAATTTCAATTATTTATTTTTAATACGAATTTCAAATGAATTCTTTGAAATTGCAATTATCATTAGAAAAATTATAATTCCTTTCAAGAATTCAAATATTTTTATAAATATTAAACTTCTTCTCAGGATTTTAATAATTATAAAAAATTTTAATAAAATTCTTTTCAGGAATTCAATTATTTTCATGACTAATAAAACTCATCGTAGAATTTCAATTATTTTTAATACAATTTTAATCGAATTCCTCGCAAAATACAATTATTCTTAAAAATTTTAGAATTCTTCGCAAGAATTCAATTATTTTTGAAAATATTTAAATTCTTCTCTGGAATACAATTATTTTTAAAAATTTTAATATAATTCATTGCAAAAATTCAAATTATTTTCATAATTATTTTTATAAATATTAAAATTCTTATCAGGATTGAATTATTTTTAAAAATTTTAATGAAATTCGTTGCAAAAATAAATTATTATCATTAATAATAAAACTCATCGCAGACTTTCAATTTTTTTTAAATACAATTTTCAATGAGTTTTTCGAAAAATGCAATTATTCTTAAAAATCTTATTAAAATTCTTCGAAAGAATTCAATTTATTTTAAAAAATGTTGATAAAGTTTTATTTTAAGAATTTAATTTTAAGAAACTTTCAATTATTCAACAAATTATTTATTTTTGTATTTAAATAATTGAATTCTAGTAGAATTTTCTAATAAAAATTTATTTAAAAATTAATTTCAGTTAAAGTTTTAGATAATAATTAAATTTTGTAGAAGTTACTAATAATTGCAATTATTAGAAATAATTGAATTAAAGAAGAATTTTAGTTAAAAATTCTTGAAAAAAATAATTGAATTGAAATGATGAAAATAATTTTGAAAAAGTTACAGTAACAATATTCTTATAATATAAAATAATTATTTTATCTTCATGTTTTATAACAAATAATATTCTTATAAATTATTGAATTTAAAAAGGTTTGAATTTAAAATTTTGAAAATCTTAATTCTAATGATATAAAAGTATTGATTAAATATTTATTTAAAAAAGAAGTCATTTTTGTTTTCGAACAATTTTACAAAAAGAAATTTGTAATTAAATCTAATAGAACATTACGGATTTTCCGAAAGAATTGGGTTTTTAAAAAAATAAACAATCACTTTAATATTTTGTAATTCGTAATAAGATATATAATTTTTCCAGTTTACTAAAAGTAAATAAATTATAATTGATTTTAAAAATAATATATAATATATAACTTCGCAGTAAACAACAATAAAGCAGCCTCATATTAAAAATCTTTCTGTTTTTATTTTTTTTTGTGACATTGTGTGTAATAATAATATTAACGTGAGTGGTATGAATTTTTTTTTACTACTTTTAAAATGAAAGAAAAATAAAAAGTATAACATGTAGTGCGATACACTTTGATTGTTATAAGATAGTGTTTTGACATTATTACTCAAAATTAACATACATATTAATATAGATTTATCATCAACTTTGACTATTTAACAACTACGCAGTGGCATTCCAAGCTTTCGATACGTTTAACTTGTCATATTTTAAATGACTGTTAGTGATTTTTTTTTCTCTCACTACTGGGTGATTGCCCAAATATTGACGACAAGTCTCCTATCGGCATTCTCATTTTTTTATACCACAAATCGTTGATTTATAATCAAAATTTATTTTTTCTTTTCGTAAACATTAACTACTTCGATTTGCATTTTCTTTTTAGGCACGTGAACAGAGATTTTTATTTTTGCGAAAACTAAAAATTTCCTTGTTCAAATTTTTACAAGATTCTATTTTTTTCTAAACATACATTTTTCGTAGTTTTCATTCTTTTCTAAATATTTTTATTTTTCTAAATACATTTTTTTTTCCTATTTTACGATGATGGAAAAAAATTTTTATTATTTAAAAATATTTTTTATACACAAGCGTCAAAAGTCTCTGTATAAAATGGTAAAACTAAATAGCATAAAAAAATATATAAAAAGTTTAGTAAAACACTCGTTCAATGTTACATTCATTCAGATTAAATGTATCTGACAATTTTTTTTTCATACAAAATTTAAAAAAAAAACGAGAATAACGATCGTAATAATTTCTAAAAAATTTTTCGGCTCAATTTCTAAAATTTGTATATAAAAAGAAAAAAAATGATAAAATACCGATTTAAATATTTATCATCATAAAAATAAAAAAAGGAAAAATATTCGGAAATTATTAAGCGTTCTTCTCGAATTAAATATTGGTTCACTTGTCGTCAATTTGGGGGCTTTACAATTTAAAAACTACAATCTATATGCGCTTTTTTTTTGCAATTGCAGCTAAGAATTTATTATTTACTGTGTTTTACTCAATCAATCGCAAAAAAGAATTTTTAAATTCGAATCAAGCGGATTTTTATTCTACGTGTTTTTTTCTTTAAAAAAAAGGGAAAAGTCCCCACCTCTGGCGTACAACGCTCGATAGAAAATTATAAACATTTTTTTTTTTTGTCGAAAATTCGTGTACAATTTTTTTTTTTTTGATCCCGAAAAATGATTATTGCTGCCAAAAGTTTTCAATTAATGCGATTTTAAAAAAAGGAGAGAGCAATTAAAATTATTAGGAACACATGAATTTGGCGTTTTTCTTTTCTAAACTATTTTCTTTATAAGTGAAAAAAAATTGCTTAATAATAAGGAAAGAAAATAAAAACTAAATTCACAATTATTCACTCGAGTCGTTTAACGTTAGAGTCCTCACACAATTATATTTCCAGGGTCATAACCACCGTCAATGATAAAATTTTTCTTCTTTGAACTTGAACTCTACGAAGCTAAAATTTATAATAGAAAAAATTGCTGCCAATTTTCAAAATTATTTAATGCCCAATTTTTTTTTTTAAGAAAAAATAACATTTTAAGCACATTATTGGAATGAGTGCTTTCATACACATATACATGAAAATATTCCCATTATACACATTCATGTATATATGAATATTTACAGTATAAAAAAATTTCTCAATTTTCAATTTGTTTAGATTTCTAATCTAAAATTAAATTTTTCAGACTTTTTTTTTAAAAAAAATTTCGATATGAAATTAAAATTTATCTAAATGAATAATAATTGTTATTGGAATAAAGAGCCTCGTGATCTAAAAACTAAAATAATAAGGAATGTTTGCAATCGGTGTTTGGTGGACAATGATCCACTTTTCAAAAACAAGTCACATAGTGAAAATTTCTACCAAAAACCTTGCCCGTAATTTTTCCTTTTTTTTGAAATAACCGATATAAACACGCCATTGTGCAAAAAAAAAATTTTGCTTTTTATCTCGAGCGCTTTACGAAGAATCGAAAAGAGATCGTAACCGGTTAAACCATCAGTCTTTCTCTCATAGCGATTATTTGTCATGGGCTATTATTTTTTTTTCCACCTATATCCTTTTCGCATTATTTGGAAATATGTTTCTGTGTCTGTGATGGCAGAAAGAGAAAAAGAATTTGGTCCATTTTTTGAGAAATTGAGAAAGAAATAAAATAGTGCCACTCGGGGAATAATTTTTCTATGAAAAATGGACGACAATGACACTATTTACACTGTTTTTTTTTTCTTTTTTGTTTCCTCTTTGCAAAATATGAATGTGATTAAAAAATACCAAATGACACTATTTTACATGCTAAAAATTTTTTTAAAATTTTCCTTCAATTTTTAGTTAAAATTTAATGCTGCGGTGAAATATTATTTCAATTTTCGAATTTTGACCAGACAGACACAGTAATGTTATTTATTGAAGTCGAGGTACATTTTATCACTCGTATCCTAAACATATTTTTTTTGTCCAATCACACACACCCTGTTAAGCAATCCATTTTGCAATAGAATCACAGTTCACTGATTTTCGCGCATTCATTTTTATTTTATCCTCAAAAAACAAAAACAAAAAATGAGGACAGTGTTGGACGCAATTTAACAAATATTTTTGAAACAATTTGACAATTGTTTTGTTACCCATTTCTAATTTTTGTTTCTTAAGCAAAATTTATTGTTTAGGTAATATGTGTTTTTTAGCTCATTGCAAAAAAAAAATTTTTTTTTTGTGCTTCGAGCTTTGCAAAGAGTGTCACACACTGTTCAAGTAATATTGATAGCTTACACGAAAATCAAAATAATAAAAAAATTAACATTATATATTAGTCACAACTAATTAACGCAACCGATACGGTCATTCGCGTTTGGCATGTTTCGTGTTTGCTTCTTTTTTTACTATCGTGACTTCTCTTCTTCTTTTTTTTGGCTTCAAACAGCATTATTATTATTTTTTTTTTTAAAGGGCATAGTACTGGATTTCTCTCGAAAATCACGCTGTATAAAAAAGCTTGACAATAGAGAGAGCGATAGAGAGGGGGAGAGTGGAGCGTGTACAAAACGATAAACAATACTGCACCTATTTTCCATATTTGGACGATAACGTGAGATGAAGCCGAAATAGTTCATTTTTTCCCCTAGGGCGGATTAGTTAGCTTCTGATATTCCACCCTGAAAAAAGCCAAGCGACAAACAATTTTAATTAAAATTGTTTTAATTAAAAAAAAATTTTTTTAAATTATTCAGAAATTGTTTTAATTAAAAAAAAAAATTTTTTTCATTGTTTAAAAATTGTTTTAACTAAATAATTAATTAAATTTAATTTTAATTTAATTAATTTACAGATTTTTTATTGCTTTTTTCTATTAGTAAAAATTATTATTTCTATTTTCAATTTAGAATTTAGTTTTCAGGATTGCCACAAACTTTATTTTATTTTTCCCTGATTTTCAGACAGAACTTTGATTTTTTCCTTGTCCCTAAAGAATATTTTATTTCACTCCTAAAAACAATTAAATATTAAATCATTATTATTATTTTTCCCCAAAAATAAAGATTTTTAACAATTTCAAATTTTAAATCCTTTGAAATTCAATAATTTATGAGAATTGCTACTGTAACTTGACCGAAATTCATTTTTCCAATTCAATTATTTTCTTTAATTTTGAATCAAAATTCATCTTTTATTTTAATTTAATTCGTTTGAAAAAATTCAATTACTTTTCATACATTTTTTGTTAAAATTCTGTATAAGAATTGAATTATTTTCGAATAAATTCAATTATTTATATTAAATTTTAATAAAATTCTGTATAAGAATTGAATTATTTTCAATTATTTACTCTAATTCCATTATTTTTAATAATTTTTGAGAAAGTTTCTTAAGAATTCAATTATTTACTTAAAGGAAAAAAAGTCAGAAAAATATTTTCGAAATCCAATTATTTACAATTCAATTTCATGGAATTTCGAGAATTTGTAAATTTTTCTATTAAATATATAGGATTAAAAAATACAATCAATTTGTAAAAAAAATTGTAATAAAAATATTTCAAAAAGCTAACTTGTTCTGAATTTTCAAATACAAATTTTTAAAACTTGATACTTCTTAAAATTTAATCTATATTATTAATATTTAGTTAATATTAATTTAACTTTCTAAAATAACAAAAATAGTTACTCATAAATTACTATAGAAAATCAAGACTTGATCAAGAAAAATTAAAAAATTATTACTGATTTAAATTAAGACAATAAGAATTTTATTAAAATTTTTGAAAATTATATTCAATATTGTTTAGAAGAATTTTATGGAAATTTTGTGAAAATAATAAAATTCTTTTGTGAAATTCAATTGAAATTACATTGAGAATAAATTGAAATCTCATAAAGAATTTTGTAACAATTATTAAAAATATTAAAAATAATTAAATTCCTGTGAATTCCATCTATGAAAATAATTAAATTCTTGACAATTTATTCGACAAATTTAATTAAAATTGTATTGAAAAGAATTTAATTCTTATACAGAATTTTATTAAAATTAATGAAAAGAATATTAATTGAAATTTTTCGATGAATTTAATTAAAATTGAGTTGAAAATAATTCAATTCTTACACAAAATTTTATTAAAATTTATTATAAATAATTGAAATTTTTCGAAAATAATTCAATTTTTATACAGAATTTTATTAAAATTTATTATAAATAATTGAATTTAATTGTATTGAGAATAATTCAATTCTTGTATAGAATTTTATTCAAATTTATTAAAAATAATTGAATTTTTTCGATGAATTTAATTAAAATTGTCCTGAAAATAATTCAATTTTTTTGATGAATTCAATTAAAATTGTATTGAAAATAATTGAATTGTTTTCAAGAATTTTTAAAAATTTTGAATCCGAAATTGTTCAAAAATTAAAGTTGATATTTAAAAATAGAATTTTTTGGTAATTTACACGATAATAAAATAATAAAATTAAATTCTGCGTTTTGCGCGTAACATTTGATAGTTAGTTATATTATTTATAAAAATTGAAAGCGCAACTTTCAAAAGATTCAAATATTTTTTGAATTTTTAAATTAAATTATTCGAAAAATAGTTTATAGGTAAATAATAATTTTCGATAGTTTCTTAAGAATTAGATTTTTCAAAATAAGTTAAATTACAAATCTGTAAATTTTAATTATTTTTAGAAATAGAAAGAATTTAAAATTGAAATTTTCATTTCAATATTTTTAAATGTACTGCTAGACAACAAAATTCAGAATTTTTTTACCAATTCTAGAAATTTGTTATTTTTCCAGTACTTTTAATAAAATTCCCTTATTTTCTTCTAAATTCCCCGACCTATGGCAATCCTGGTTTTAAAAAATTTTTTGTATTAAATTTAAAAAATTTTTTTTTTTTTTTTTTGTGTTAAATCTTTGTATTAAAAATTTTTACAATTGGACTAAATTGCAGAGGAAAAAACTTACAATGCTACTTGACAGCTAGAGTCTGTTTGAGGTGTCGCATTAGGTGACTTCCGACATCGTGCACCTCTGGCCATTGTTTGAGCACGAAGACAATGCCCAGGACGACAAACGTCGTGGTAAGTATGCGCACCCTGCACATGAAACAATGAGGCTTAGTACAGCTGAAACAAACATGAAGAAAACAAACGAAAAAAATGAGAATGAGAAATCAAAAAAAATGATCGTGACTTGAAATCATGCAATGCTTTTTTTGATGATGAATAATGAAGCATGAATAATCTCCTAAATTAATATTAAAAAATACTTGCGCATCCTACTTTCAAAAGAAAAAAAAAGTGATTAGTTTCAATTTTATAACAAAACAGAAACGATTATTTTTTATAGTTTACAATTTGTCAAATATCGGTTTATATCAATACATTTTTTTTTTTTATAATTCTATAAAATTAGTACATTTTTTTTGGTCTGTTATTTATTAAATGAAATATAGTGGAAAAAATACCTCGTTCGAAGGAATGGCATCATTATACCAGCACCAGTTGCCACAAGTAATAGAATTACTTGCAAAACTATAAGGACTACATTTATTAATTTAACAACTAATGCTCTCGCATTACTGTTATCTAAACCTTCAAGTGTCACATATTGCTGATGTTGTTGCTGTTGATGTTCCATTTTCCAAATTTTCGTCTGACAACTCTCCAGCATTTCGTGAATGTCCCTTAAACGATCTTCACTTTGATATTGTACTTTCTCCTCCATATCGGTGATTATTTGCTTCAGATTTTCAACTTCGTTTTGATGCAGTTCAGTCAGGTCGTTTATCTGCTCCTCCAATCGTTCACAGCGGAAACGTTCCTCTTGTACCGCGTGCGAAAGATACGTCACCTCTTGCTGAAGAGTCTAAAGGACAATTCTAATTTTTATTTGGTAAAAAAAATTCCAAAATGAGAAAAAAAATTACAGTGTGGCAAAAAATTGAGTGTCAAAAATTATAGAGTTCAGAGCTCGAACCAGTGAAAGAATTTAAACATTCAGACTTTACGGTCCAAAAATAAATAAATCCATTTCTTTACAATATTCAATTTTATACGCAATTTTGATTATAAGGAAATTCTTCAATTAAATATAAAAATAAAATAAAAACTTAAAATAATGTAAAAAAAACTGAATTAAACTTTTTTTAGAAAAATTAATTTCAAAATTCAATTATTTACAAAAATTCACGCCATATTGCTTTTAATATTCAATTATTATCTAAAATTTTAACAGAAATTAATTTTTACATTAATATTTATTAGAAAATTCTACTAGAATTCAATTAATAAAAATACACAAATAAATATTTTGTTGAATAATTGAACGATTCTTAAAATTCAATTTCAATAGAGAATTTTATCAACAAATTTTTAAATAATTGAATTCTTTCAACGAATTTTAATAAAATTTTTAAAAATAATTTCATTTTTCGAGAAATTCGATTAAAATTGTATTAAAAATAATTGAATTTTTTTCAACAAATTTTAATAAGATTTTTTAAAAACTTGCATTTTTCGAGGAATTAATTTTAAATTGAATTAAAAATAATTGCAATGAATTTTATTAAAATTTTTAAAAATAATTGAATTCTTGCGAAGAATTACAAAATTTTTGCATTTTTCGAAAAATTTATTAAAAATTGTATTAAAAATAATTGAAATCCTGCGATGAGTTTAATTATTAATGAAAATAATTGAATTCTTGCAACGAAATTTATTACAATTTGTAAAAATAATTGTATTCCAAAGAAGAATTTAAATATTTTCAAAAATAATTGAATTCTTGTCAAGAATTATAAAATTTTTAATAATAATTGCATTCTCGAGGAATTCATTTGAAATTAAATTAAAAATAATTGAAATCCTGCGATGAGTTTTATTATTTATGAAAATAATTGAATTCTTGTTTACAGTTTTATTATTCTGCGATGATTTTTATTATTTGGGAAAATTATTGAATCTCTAAGAAGAATTTCATTATTTTTGAACAATATTTAATTTTTGCGAAGAAATAATTTAATTTCTGCAATTATTTTAAATTTTTCCAAAATTAAATCTTTGTTTAGTGTTTTTAATTAAAATTTTTCTATAAATTTAATGCATTATTTTTAATAACTTTTGAAAAAATTCTTTGCGAATTTTCAAATTCATCTGTTTACAATTCAATTTTACAAAATGTCAATTATTCGCAAAAAAAAAAAAAAATTTGCAATGAAACTTTCTTAAAAAAATTAAATCCACAGAATTGTTAGTTAAAAATATGAACAATTCAGATTTTCATAGATTTTAATTTGAAACCTTTTCAAAATTTAATTATTTCTAAAAATTCACGCTCTAATGCTTTTAATATAATTCAATTATTATTTAAAATTTTAACTGAAATCCATTTTTAAACCAATTTATATTAGAAAATTCTACTAGAATTCAGTTAAAAATTTTGTAAGAAGAATTAGGGGAATGTAGTCAAGGTTGGCCTACTGTCTAGGTAGGCCACTCGCGTTTTTTTGTCAAGTTCACTAGCGCCACCTACGCGCATTTTTGTCGAAGCTTGTCTTAGTGAAACCTAACTTTTTGTTCAATTACATTTTCGGAAAATCGAAAATTGTGTTTTCTGTGACGTCGGTACAAAAAAAGCTCAAAAAAAGTTTTGTGCATAATGTGAAAAACCATTAATAAAAGATAAAAAACAAATTGAATCGTCAAGGCAAGTATGCAGAAAATTTGTGGGACTCATGGTTGAAAGGAAAACAAAGTAAAAAATCGAATCCCGAAACGTATTTCTTTTTGTTTACAACAATTCGGTAATGTTACTTACTGTCAAGGTCGGCCACTATGTGTTTAAAATGCGCAAAGTTGAGGACGAGCTACTTCATTTGCAAAAACTGCAATTCTGTATAACTCATAATATAATTGATCATCTTATTAATATTTTTATTTAATTTTATTAATATTTTAGTGCAAAACTTTTTTTTATTTATATTTATTTTTTTATATTGTTTATTGTTATTATTTTGTTATTTCATTAAGTTACAAACTGTAAACAATAAAGAATCAATTTTCCGTAACTCCAAACATGTTATTTTATTTTTTAACGATTAATGCCCTTTGAATTTTAAACATGGCCGACCTTGACTGTAATGGCTAACCTGGACTACAAATTTTTTTTTTTTTAAATCTTTATAACTTTTTCATTTTTAAACCTGTCAATTTACTTTGTACAGAAAAAATGTTCCTATTAAACAGGACTTTCCAACCATATACTTCAATTGTCCAAATTCATTTTTAAAAAAAAGTTATAAACAAAAGTCAAAAAGGTGGCCGACCTAGACTATGTTCCCCTACATTTTTCGAGGAATTTGACAAAAATTGTGTTATAAATAATTGAATTCGTTCAGTGAGTTAAATTAAAATTATATTAAATGTAATTTAATTTTTATACATAATTTTATGAAAATTTATTAAAAATAATTCTATTCTTTCGACAAATTAAATTAAAATTTCATTGAAAATACTTCAATTCTGACACAGAATTTTATTAAAATTTATTTTAAAAAATAATTTAATTTTTTCGCTGAATTTAATTAAAATTTTTTTAACTAATGAAATTTTTTCGTCGAATTAATTAGAATTGTATTCAGAATAATTTAATTCTTGTATAGAATTTAATTAAACATTTTTTAAAATAAATGAATTTTTTCGCTGAATTGAATTGAAATTGTATTGAGAATAATTCAATTCTTGTAAAGAATTGAATTAAAAATTTTTGAAACTAATTACATTTTTTTGTCGAATTTAATTAAAATTGTATTGAGAATAATTTAATTCTTGTATAGAATTTAATTGTAATTTAAATTGTAATTTTATTTTATCAAACATTTTTATTTAAAGTAATTAATAAAATATTATTTCTAAAGATAATTGAAACTTTACGTGAATTTTTTAAAATTCTTTTAAAATAATTGAATTTTTGAGAAGAATTTAATTATTTTTAAAGATAATTGAAATTTTGACGTGAATTTTTTTTTTAAATTTTTGAACAGAATTGAATTTTTGTGAAGAATTTTTTTACTTTTGAAAATAATTGAATTTAGGAGAAGAATTTAATGATTTTTAAATATAATTGAAATTTTGACGTGAATTTTTTTTTTAATTTTTGAACAGAATTGAATTTTTGTGAAGAATTTTTTTCCTTTTGAAAATAATTGAATTTTTGCAATGATTTGTGATTCTAGTTCGAGCCATAAGAGTTAAAAAAAACTGAATGAAAAAATTCCACAGAGTGACAAAAAATTGACTGGGAAAAATATTACAGAACGACGAAAAGTAAAATTTTCCATTTGGGACGAACCTTGAGACCTTCCAATTTTTCGCGCATTCGATCGAAATTTTCTCTGTGCTCTTGAAGTTCGGAGAAGATGGATTTGAGACTGAAAGTGTCCCTGTGACCGTGGCAGGTGTGTGTTTGCCCTCGACTTCCGGGACCACTTTCGCTGGTGACACTAGAACATTCGGAGCCCTCTTCGGATGGAAATTTCATGGCTGCTGCACTGTGCGTTGATCCCAGACTACATCCACCAGGGAGTGTAGCCGAGCCGTGATGAATCTTTTCCTCTTCGACGCTAGCATTATCACCATTACCTGCATGTGGTGTATCGTTTACATAAAATGTCGAGCCATCTGTGGGGACACAGAGGTCGCCGGTTAGACCGTTATCCAATACCCAGTGTCAGGCTTTATAGAATCAATTTTTAATTATTTTAATTAAGCACCTGCGTTCCGTTTCATACTCAATTTTTAGCTTCCCAACAGATTTTTAGCTTCCATTAAACTAAGTCTGTTTTTTTTTTTAATTAATCTATCTCGAAATTAATTTACTTTTTGGAATCTACTTCGAAATTATTTTACCTTTTTGAATCTACTTCGAAATTAATTTACCTCTTCGAATCTAGTTCAAAATTAATTTACCTTTTCGAATCTAGTTCAAAATTAATTTACCTCTTCGAATCTACTTCAAAATTAATTTACCTTTTCATATCTACTGTAAAAAAAGATTTTTGATGAAGAAATTAATAGGAAGGTTAAAACCTTCCTACTAATTTCTTCATCAAAAATCTTTTTTTTTATTATATCGGGAAGAAAGAACAAAAATGATTTCCCAAAAAGAAAATTGTCAAGAACGAAACGCAGTGTTAAAAACAGTTACATTTAAAAGAAACAAAAACTTGAAAATCGCGAAAGTAGAATGATAACTGAGAGGAATGAGAAACGATGCAGGATAAATGTTCGATTCACTCAATAAAGAGAAGAAGCAGAACAACCCTCTAAAGTATTGATGTATATAAAAATCTTTTAAGCCAACATTTTCCTTAGTATTGGATAACAAGAGTATTTTTTTCGGGACGATGAGATAGAGAAGAAGTAGCGTTCACACGAGAAGCGAAAGTGCTCGAAGAGATTGTGAAGATAGTGCACAGCCTTTTGAAAGTTTGTCCCAGAAAAAAAAAAAATAGAAAATAAGTGAGAAAGCAACAAGCGTGAAAAAAAGTTTTTCTTCTTTTTCAACATTACGCTGACAAAGTGATTAAAGAAATAGTAGTTTGGAGTAAAGCTTTTACAGTGAGGAAAATTATCAATTGAATCGTGAGTCACACACCAAAAAAAAAAGTACGATAGCTCCTATTTATTAATTTTTTATTACTTACTACTGTCAACTGTCAAGGCAGCGAGAAATTCAAGAGTATTTCAATTTTTGTTACGACAACGAATAATAAAAATAATAAATAAATTCTTAACTGAATGAACTTAACGAACCATTTCAGTTTTTGTTATAATGATAATAAAAAGTAATAGTAAATACTAATAGTAATAAATAATAAAAAAATACTAATAATAATAAATAATAAAAAAACTAATAATAATAAATAATTAAAAAAAATAATAATAAATAATAAAAATTATGAACCGATTCCTAACTTCATAAATTTAAATTCATAATAGAAATAATTATTTTTATTAGTGAAGCTTTTTATTATATCATAGCTATTAATTCTCTAAATTCTTTTCTGCTTGTTAAAATTTAGTTTCGAAAAAATTGCAATTCTGATAAATTTTTATATCGTTTGTAAAAAAATTGCAATTATCAATTAATTTTAATTTATTAATTAATTGAAAAATTGTAATTTCATTAAATTTTATGTCAATTACTGAAAAATTGCAACTTCATGAATTTTTATATCAATTTTTGGCAAATTTGTAAATCAATTGTAAAAAATTGCAATTTTATAAATTTTTATATCAATTTTTGGAAAATTTGTAAATCAATTGTCAAAAATTGGAATTTAATGGATTTTTATATCAATTATTGGAAAACTTTGTAGATAAATTGAAAAAAATTGCAATAATTTCGAAACGAAACTATTTTCATATGTCAATTGATGTTAATGAGAATATTTAAATCACTTACGTGATAATGTATTTATATTGTCAGCACTGCCAAATTTATTTTTAATTAGATGTGCAAATTCACGAGGTTTGGACATCACACTCCTGGAAAAATTAAATATTCAAATAATTATTTAATTTTACACAAAGAAACTAAAATACGAATAAAATGTTAATAGGAAAAAAATACAAACCCAGAAAATCCTGTAATACCGTCCCTGATGTTACCTCCAACATTTCTAAAATGATAAAATCGTATAATTAATTTAAATTAAAATTGTAATCAATTTAATGAATTAATTTCATTTCTATTTCATGTTAATTTCATTTCAATTTCATTTTAATTTTATTTCAATTTCATTTTAATTTTATTTCCATTTCATTTTAATTTCATTTCAATTTTATTTTGAAATTAAAATTAAAATTTTTAAAATCATTATCAATTCAATTATTATTTTCAAGAATTTTTAACTAAAATTCTTCTTTAAGTCGATTATTTTTAATAATAAAAATAACATAAAAACTTAAAATAATATGAAAAAAATCGAAATAAACTTTTTCAGAAAAATTAATTTTAAAATTCAATTATTTCCAAGAATTCACGCTGTATTTTTTTTAATATTCAATTATTATCTAAAGTTTCAACTGAAATTTATTTTTATATCAATTTTTATTAAAAAAGTTTACTAGAATTCAATTATTTAAATAGAAAAATAAATAATTTATTAAATAATTGAATATTTCTGAAAATTGAATTTTTATGAAAAATTTTGTAAAAATAATTGAATTCTTTCGGCGAATTTAAAAAAAAAATTAAGAATAAATACAATTTTCTATCATTTTATTTAAAATTGTATAAAAAATAATTAAAATCTTGCGATAAGTTTTGTTATTTATAAAAATAATTAAATTTTTGCAACGAATTTTATTAACAATTTTTTTTTTTTTAAGAATTGAGTTCCTGTGATGAATTTTATTTCTGAAAATAATTGAATTCCAGAGAAAAATATTATTATTCATGAAAATAATTGAATACTTTTAAAAATTTTATTATTTATGAAAATAATTTAATTCTTGTCAAGAATTATAACATTTTTAAGAATAATAACATTTTATCGAGGAATTAATTTTAAATTATATTAAAAATTTTACCAATTTTCACCAATTTTATGAAAATTGTATTTTAATTTTTAAATAATTGAATTCTTGTGAAATTTTTATTATTTATGAAAATAATTAAATTCCCGCAACGAATTTTATTGTTTTGCGGTGATTTTTATTATTTGTGAAAATAATTGAATCCCTGTAAAAATTTTATTATTTAATATGTATTTAATTTCTATATAGAAAATAATTTTAGGAATTGAAAACTCACTTCAGCCCTTGTCCCATGTCTCGAAGAACTTCCCTTGGTTGTCGATGACTCGTGGGCGCGCCATTTATCTCGTAATTTTTCAATTTTTTCGTATAGCTGTCCAATTTTTTTTGCAATTGTGAAATAGTGTGGGCTGATCTTTGATTTTTTTTCTCGAAAACAGTCTTAATCCTAGTAAGCTGCTGCTTGTCAGCACTCGCAGCAAGTTTCAGGTATTCATTCACATTTTCTAGAAGGACAATAATTTTTTATTTCCTTTTTGTATTAATTTAATTAATATTAAAATTATCTACTGATATAATACGAGACGCCTGGTTCCCTCTCTCTTCCATCGGAGCGGAAAAAAACCATTTTTCAAATAAATATTAAAACATGAGGCCGAAATTCAAAACAGGAGTGATGACTTGAATTTTTTAACTACTTGACAATTTTCTTTGAAATTCGAATATTTTTATAAACAGGTCTTGGCGATAGAATAGCGAACTACTCCAAATACGACTAATAAATGACGGTACAATTATCCAGTGATTGTAATTATGCAGATTAAATGCTTATGCTTCGTGTCAGTTGCTTTTTTGTGATTCATCCATTAATTGATGTCACCGATTGTACAAAAAAAAAAAAAAAAAAATAATAATAATCAAGATAAAAATGAGATTAGTTTCTTTCAGTAAAATTTGCCAAGAATAAAATTATTTCTAAATTTAATATTTGTTTTTTATTCAATTAGTAATTATTAATATTATTAATTATTAATTAATATTTTATTATTAAATTTAATTATTAAATATATTAGGTAATATTTTCTTAATATCATTAATATTTTATTAACTATAGCAAATACTCTTCCCCCGAAACTCTATTCAATTTATTATTATTATTATTATTATGCAAATTACCGATTTTTTTATTTACAAACATCAACTATTATTTTTCAATTATTTTCAGATCCAAATTTCAAAAGTCCATTTGTTAAATAAACTTCTGTGCCAGAATTGAATTAGCTAAGATTCAATATAAAAAAATACTTAAAAAAAAAATTATCTTTCAAAATTGCAAAAAAGAATAAACTTATTAACGCAAAAATTATGGAAAATAAAATAATTTCGAAATTGTTAAAATATGTTTTAAACTTTTTTTTTAACATTTTTTGAATTATACGAATTCAGTTGAAGAATGTTTGCCTTACCGTCACGGGTGGTTTGTTCAACTCGAATTAGATCTCTAGTTCGGTCAATTTTACTTTGAATATGTTCGATGGCTTGACGAACTCGCGTGGCACTTGAATCAATGTCGTCGCTTATCAACTCTGTCGAGCCATTCGATAGGAACGATTGCGTGTGATGATGATGTGCGTCCTGTCACAGAAATTAACAATCACATGAGTTAGCGTAAATTATGAAATTCCAGTTGCATGCGCCAGTGTATAACAAAATAGTCAGCAATTTTAATCTACTCCAAACGTTTTTAATTAATATACAAAAACATAAAAACTCCTCAAGACACAACAAGATTTTTTTTCACACATAATATGTTGAACTTCATTTTTTTTTATTTTATTTTTTCATTTATTTTTTTCCTAGATTTCATTCCTTCATTTCTTTTCATTTAATTTCTTCAATTCTTTATTTCTTTACATTTTATTTCTTTATTTTATGCATTTTTTCATTAACATTTTATATTCTTATTTTTTCCTCTTATTTTTTTATTATTATTGTTTTATTATATTATAATTTTCTTTTTTTACTATTTTGTACTATTTTAAATTCCTTTTTTTGTAGATATACTATTTAATATTGATTGATTGACATACATATTGAATTGAATCCAAACTGAATCGAAACTGAATTGAATCGAAATTGAATTGAATAATATTGAAATTGAATTGAATCGAAACTAAATTGGAATTGAATTAAATCGAAATTGAATTAAATTAAATCAATCAATCAATTGAATCGAAATTGAATCAGAATTAAAGTGAATCGAAATTAAATTAAGTCGACTTTGAATTAAATCGAAATTTAATTAAATGGGAATTGAATTAAATTATATCGGAATTAAATTTAATCAAAATAGCATCGGAATTTATTGATTTCAATCAAAATTCAATTAAATGATTCAAAATAGCATAGGAATTGAATTAATTCGAAATTGAATTAAATTGGATTGAATTGAAATTAAATTTATTCAGAAATGAGTTGAAAATAAAAGGAACCGAAATTGAGTTAAATTGCATTGGAGTCAAATTGAATAAAAATTAAGTTAAATCGAAATGGAATAAAATAAAATTAAATTGAACTAAAACAGCATTGAATTTGAAATAAATAGAAATTAAATTAGATTGAATTGAAACTAAATTGAATTGAATCGAAAAGGAATAAGAATTGAATTTAACCGAAGGTGAATTAAATTGAGTTGAAATTAAATTGAATCGAAATTGAATTAAATTAAATTAAATCGGAATGAAATTGTATCGAAACTGCATTGGAATTGATTTAAATCAAAATGAAATTAGATTGGATTGAAATTAAATTGTATCGAAATTGAATTAAATTGAGTTGAAGTTAAATTGAATCGAAATTGAATTAAATCATATTTGAATCACTATTAAATTGAATCAGAATTAAATTGGATTGAATTAATGAAATTAAATCAAATTTCAATCGGAAATGAGTTGAAATTGAATGAAAATTGAATTGGAATGGAATTGAAATTAAAATAAATCAAACTTGAGTTAAAATTTGAATTCAATCAGAATTGAAATTAAATCAGAATTGGAATGAATCGAATTTTAATTACATTAAATGGAATTTAAGTTGAAATTGAGTCTGAATCTAGTTAAAATTGAATCGCAATTGAATTTGAATTAAATTAAATGATTGAAATTTAATCGAAATTAAATATAATCGTATTTGATTTAAAATTTAGTCGGAATTTAATCAGAATCCAGTTAAAATTTAATCGGAATTGAAATAGAATGAAATTAAGTCGAATTGAATTTAAATTAAATAGAATTGTATTTTAACTAAATTGATTTTGAATTTAATAAAATTTTTCAATTAAATTAAAATGAATTTAAATTAAATTAAATTTAATTTAACTTGAAATTTAGTCGAAATAGAGTTAAAATTTAATTGGAATTAAATTAAGTCGAATTCGAGTCGAGATTTAATAGGAAATGACTCGTAATTGAGTTAACATTGAATCTGAATTGAATGAGAATTAAGATAAATCGAATTTGAATCAAAATTTAGTTGAAATTAAATAAGAATTTAATTGAATCGAATTTAAATTAAATCCGAATGCGGGAATGAATCTAATTTGAGTTGAATTTGAGTCGGAATTAAATCGTAATTGAATTGGAATTTATTTTAAATCGAATTTGAGTTAAAATTGAATTGAAAATGAATCGGAATTGAATTGGAATTTTATTAAGTCGAATTCGAGTTGAAATTTAGTAGGAAATAAAACGTAATCGATTTAACATTGAATCGAAATTGAATTAGAATTAAGTTAAATCGAATTTTAATCGGAATTGTGTAGAAATTGAATTAGAGTTTAAATTAATTCCGAATGGAATTGAATCTAATTTGAATTGAAATTGAGTCAGATTTAAATTGAAATTGTATCGGAATTAATATGGAATTAAATTAAATCGAATTTGAGTTGAAATTGAATTGAAATTGAATCGGAATTCAATTGGAATCAAATTAAATCGAATTTGAATCGTAATTGAGTTGTAATTGAGTCAGAGTTGAATTGGAATTAAATTAATTCTAATTTGAATCGGAATTTAGTTAAAATTTAATTGGAATCGAGTTAAAATTGAATCGGATTTGAATTAAAATGTAATTTTTAATCGAATTTAAATCGGAATTGAATTGGACTTAAATTGAATCGAAATTGAGTTCAAATTCACTAGAAATTAAATCACAATTGAGTTGAAATTGAATCAGAATTGAATTAAAATTTATTCAGGATTAAATTAAATCAAATTGGAATTATAATTGACTTGAAATTAAATCGAAATTTAGTTGGATTGAATTGAAATTGAATCAGAATTGAATTCGAATTAAATTAAATCGAATTGGAGTTAAATTAAATCGAATTTTAATCGGAATTGAGTCGTATTTGAGTCGAAATTGAATTGGAATTAAAGTAATTCTAATTTTAATAGGAATTAAGTTGAAATTCAATTGGAATCGAGTTAAAATTGAATCGGAATTAAATTGGAATTGAATTAAATCAAATTTAAATCGGAATTGAGTTGAATCGAAATTGAATCGGGCTCAAATTGAATCGGATTTGAGATGAAATTGAATCGGAATTGAGCAAAAAATTGAATCGGAATGAAATTAAATCAAATTTGAAGCAGAAATGACTTGAAATTGAGTTCAAATTGATTAGAAAATAAATCGGAATTGAGTTCAAATTGAATCAGAATTGAGCTAAAATTGAATCGGAATTAAATTAAATCAAATTTGAATCAGAATTGACTTGAAATTGAATAGGATTTGAGATGAAATTGAATCGGAATTGAGTTAAAATTGACTCAAAATTAAATTAAATCAAATTTGAATCGGAATTGACTTAAAATTGAAACGAAAACTTATAAATTGATAAAATCTATTATAAAACGAAATATCTCGATTAGAAAAACTACAGAAGCGAACAATACAATTTTTTTGATAACTATTTACATTAGTGTTGAATCAAAAAAGATTGTGAAGAGTATATTTTGATCAATCCTTTTGATGAAGAAGAAGTAGAAGAAGGCAGAGAAAAAAAAGAGATTAAAATAATGAACGTACTCCCTCTTCGTCATTGGGTGGTTGAATGTTTGGCACAATCTCTTCAGTGTCGGCAGTGATTGTGCTGATGTTTGACTCGTCCATGGTGTCACTAGTTCGTACCACGGCACCCGGTGATCTTTGTCGACTGGTACTCTTCATACCGGTAGCACCCCCTCCTCCACAGCTGCTGCCACTGCCCGTGCTACCTTCTCCTGCTTGATGTCTGAATCATAAAGTGCACACAGTGTGCACATTCGATCATTGCAAATGATTAGCATATTCTTCCATTGACTTCACCCAACTTTCATGAATTAATACACTCTTCATATCAATGCTCAAACAAAAATAAAGAAACTCTTGTCTCTTGTCTTGTGCTAATCACTAAAACTCTTTCTGTCTCTTACGTTAATTAAACTCTTGTCTGTATTAATTTAACTATTTTATTAATTAAACTATGTTATTAATTAAACTATGTTATTAATTAAACTATGTTATTAATTAAACTATATTATTAATTAAACTATGTTATTAATTAACTAAACTCCTATCTCTTGTTTTTCAATTTCGAAGAATCTTAAAAGTTTGGATTTTGATCCATAATTTTGGTATCACTTTACTTTCGAGACTCGAAAGTAAAGTGATACCAAAATTATGGATCAAAATCCAAACTTTTAATTTTCCTTTTGCTCCACTTTACACCCAGAGAAAAATATTATTTAAACCAAATATATTTTATTTGAGTTAAATAAATGTATATTTGTCTCAGAACCAACTAGACTTTTTATTTGTTTTAAATAAAAATTTTATTCGGCATAAATAAAACATATATTTGAGCCAAATAAAATTTCATTTAGACCAAATAAAATTTATTTGAAACAAATAAAAAGTCTAGTTGGTTCTGAGACAAATATACAATTTCTCTGGGTGTAGTAACAATTAAATAAAAAAAACCGTATACAGTCTTTTTTGCATCTAATTTTCTAAAGGAGAAAAAAACCTTGAAACCTTTTTTTTTCCCACCCTTCAGAAATTGTATACAGAGAATCTAAAAATATGTGAGTAATAAATATCAAAAGAATGTCAAGGTTATCTTCTGTCTTTATTGAAACTAGAATTTTTACTACAAAAAAGAAAGAGGGAAAATAATAAAAATAAAAAAATTTGTTTCAGTATTTTATTTAAAAAAAAAAGAATTGAAGTTCTATTAATTTTATTGATAAAATGCAAATTACAGGAGATAGTGTGTAAGTATCATTCAAGCATCACTTGGTTTATGATGCTATCTATATCCTTTTGACAAAGGAGGGTCACACTGTGTGATGCTTGGATTAACATACACAGTTTACAAAGAGTTACAATTTCATAAAATCATATAAGCCTCCATCAAAAACGGAGGAAACTATAATTTACTTCTCTTACAATGTTTGAAATTATAAGTTTCTTAATGTACTTTAAATAGTACAATAAATTGAACGAGAATTATCTAATTAAGAGCAATGGAATTATTGTAACTTTATATAGTCATTATCATTTCGTAGAGTTATCATTTTTTTCCCCAGTTCTACTTGGGGAATTTCGTTATTATTCATTTTAATTCGTTATTATTAAATTTAATTCCTTGTAATTAGTGAGAAATTGTAATTGATTTAGACACCCGACCCTTTGGTTATTTCAATCGAATTCTTTTTTTCAGAGTCATTTTTACAGGCCTTGGATCGAAAAGACACAAAAAAAAGTCGCTTTTAGTGGATTAAAAATACAAAAAAAGTAGAAAAAGTCAAAAAAAGTCGTTTATTTAATTCAGTGTTCCAATAAAAATTTTATTTTGTAACTGTAATTATTGTCAAAGTTTTTTTTTAAATTATTAAAGTATAACATTTTAAAAAAATTATAATAAAGAAACTCTTAAAATTAGTTTCTTTAAAAATATTTTTAAATAATGTTTTAAAGATAGTAGATAGTCTTTGAATTGTGGTAAAATCTTTTAAAAATAATTGAATTTTGATAAAATCTTTTAAAAATAATTGAATTTTGGTAAAATCTTTTAAAAATAATTGAATTTTGATAAAATCTTTTTAAAACATTTCAATTTTGGTAAAATCGTTTTAAAATAATTGAAATTTGACAAAATCTTATTAAAAACAATCGAATTTTTGTAAAATCATTTAAAAATAATTGAAATTTGATAAAATCGTTTTAAAACAATTGAAATTCGACAAAATCTTATAAAAAACAATTGAATTTTGGTATAAAAAAAAAAAAAATGAATTTTGGTAAAATCTTTTAAAAATAATTGAATTTTGGTAAAATTGTTTTAAAATAATTCAAATTTGACAAAATATTTTAAAAATAATTGAATTTTGGTAAAATCTTTTAAAAATAATTGAAATTTGATAAAATCTTATTAAAAACAATTGAATTTTTTTATTATTTTCAAGAAGAAAATTAAAATTCAAGATTACACTGAAATTGAATTTTTGTAAAATAATTTAAAAATAATTGAAATTTGATTAAATCTTTTTAGAACAATTGAAATTTGACAAAATCTTATAAAAAACAATTGAATTTTGGTAAAAAAAAAAAATTTGAATTTTGGTAAAATCTTTTAAAAATAATTGAAATTTGATAAAATCTTTTTAAAATAATTTTAATTTGACAAAATCTTTTTAAAATAATTGAAATTTGACCAAATCTTATAAAAAACAATTGAATTTTGGTAAAATCGTTTTAAAATAATTGAAATTTGATAAAATCTAATCTTATTAAAAACAATTGAATTTTTTTTATTATTTTCAAGAAGAAAATTAAAATATTCAGGATTACACTGGAATTGAATTTTTGTAAAATCTTTTAAAAATAATGGAAATTTGATAAAAACGTTTTAAAACAATTGAAATTTGACAAAATCTTATAAAAAACAATTGAATTTTGGTAAAATCTTTTAAAAATAATTGAATTTTGGTAAAATCTTTTAAAAATAATTGAATTTTGATAAAATCTTTTTAAAACATTTCAATTTTGGTAAAATCGTTTTAAAATAATTGAAATTTGACAAAATCTTATTAAAAACAATCGAATTTTTGTAAAATCATTTTAAAATAATTAAATTTTTGAAAAATTTTAATAATAAATATGTGTAAATGTGATTTTTCCACGAAATTTTAATAAGAATCTAAAGAAGTAAATTTTAAAAAAATTTAATTTTCTTTGTTCGAAGATAAGTAAATCTTAATAAATTATAATAAAACAATTCTAAGAATTAGTTTTTTTAAAATATTCTAATGTAATTTTTCGAAAATAATGGAATTTCTTAAAAGAATTTTTGTATAATTTAAAACAAATAATTGTTTTCTCGAAAATGTTAAAAATAATTTAAAAAATTTTAATGTTTATATTATTTTTTGTTACCTTTGTATCTGAATTTTCGGAATTATATTTTTGAAAATATTGAAAATGAAGTTTTTTAAGTAAATTTTACTAAATCAAAAGCAAAAAGTCAGTTACTAACTCAAATTAGTAAATATTTTTCCTAATTTAAATTTAGAGACTATGAGAGAAACTTATCGCTGTTCATTGTAATTTTTACCAAATAGTAAATTTTAAATAGGTTAAATAAAAAATAAAGAGTATAATTTGCTATAGCAATTGAGGAATTTACTTATATTACTAAAAATTAGTGATTAGTGATTGATAGTAATAAGAATTAATTAGTGATTAGCATATAGTAGAGCACCAACACTTTATTATTATACATTAAAAAAATATTTGGTGATTATTAGAGAATGTATTTCTTTAAATTGTAATTACAAGTTTTTAAAGGAACTCCTTTGTCCGTTGAGTGAAGTCATTGATAAGAAAATTATTATTCAATTGTTCAAAGAGCAAAGTTTCTATTCAAACAATAAGGAATTTGTTACGAGATATATTTAAAGCATTTATTTATTCCACTTCATATTTTAAAGCAATTTAAATATTCATATGCATATATACAAAGACACTTTTTCTAGTCAAGTTTTTTCATTCTGCGAAATATTGAGAAGTTTAAAACAAAATTTTTAATTTAACGAATTTTAATTTAAAAACTGGTTTTAAAATTAGAATCATTCTCTAAATCTGAATTAGTTGTTTTCTACTGCTAATTCTATTACTTATTGAATTATGAACAACTGGGACTGATTTAGTGATTTTTAGTAATAAACTACTAATTTTTAATAGTAAACTAATTTTTTGTAGTAAACTACTAATTTTTTGTAGTAAACTTCTAATTTTTAGTAGTAAACTACTAATTTTTTAGTACTAAACTACTCATTTTTAATAGTAAACTACTAATTGGTGGTAGAAATCTACTAATTCAAGTAGTAAGTTGGTTTACTAATTTTAAATAGTAAAAACTACAACTTACTAATGACTTAGTAGTTTTCTACCAGCATTTAGTAGTTTCTTTTACTAAAAATGAGTCAAAACATTAATTCAATTGGTAAACGAATCCGCACTATTTTATTAGTAGAAAACTACTAATTTAGATTTAGAGAGTAGATTACAACCCAAAAAACTAAGAATCACTTAAATTTTAAATTTAGACTTTTTAGGTTATTGTAACCCCAAAAATACCCAAAATACCCCAAAAAGGATCAATATTGTCAAAAAAATTGCCTTAATATTGCAGTAAGTTTGTAACTTATTTTAAGAAATGTCTGTTAGGTTTGTTTGTTGTTTATTGTAGTAAGTTCTTGTATGGTACTATTCTCATTATCTCAGGTATTTTATGTAATTAAGCTTCATAATTTCTTATCATAACACAATTTTTTGTCTTTCCAGTTTTCGATAATGTAATGTCAATCACTTATCGCTGCGAGCTAGGAAGAACGAACATTTATTATTTTTACCCTATAATGTGTATTTAAAAACTTATTATATTTAATATTTTTTAATACTATTTTCTTTAATATTACTTATTGAATAATTCTTGCGCGAAAAATTTTCTATTTGATCCACATTTTGGTATCAAATTGTTTTGATACTTTCGAGAAAACCGTGATATCTTAAAGATAAAGTTATTTGAAAAGTAGCCTATTTTTAAGCTTAAAACTCTATTTTTAGGCTTTTTAGGACTTAAAATCAGTATTTTTATAAAAATATCAGAGGTTGTAGCCTCTTAAAGCTAAAATTTAGTTGAAAATAGTTCTAAACGTCCTTCTCCCAAATCAAAAGTGGGCTAAAAGTAAGATCTATTGTTTACACTGTACAAAAGAAGTGGAAGAAAAATATACAGTAACTTTTACTATACTTACAAAGTAAAACGAAAACTATCGCGAACTTTAGTACATTTCTGACAACTTTTACTATTTTCAAAGTACATCAAAAATGTATTTCGATCGTAGCAACTTTTACTCCAAAAATAGTCAAAATTGCCAAAAATAAGCGAAAGTTTCTGTTTAGTGTAAATTTTACTTTATGAAAATAGTAAAAGTTAGTATATTTATTATTTATTCGTTTTTCCCGTGTAGTGAAAGTAAATTTATTCAAAAAGTTTGTTTCCACTATATAGGGAAGAATTCTTAAAAACTACAGTTTTCTTAAAAGTATTAAATTAATACTAAAGTGAATCAAATTGTCCGCTAAAAATTTGGACCAATTTTTTATTTGATCCACATTTTTGGTATCAATTCGTTGCAATTTGATACTTTTAAGTTAAAAGTGAAGGCAAATGTAGAAATAAATGCAATTGTGGAATGTGGAAATTATGCAAATACGAAAAGAAGAAGAAAAAATTGCGAAAACTTACACAGCAGCAGCAGCATTCCGAGATTTTGGTGTATGATCCAGGTTGGCTGTTGGTTGTTGTTGTTGTTGTGGTTGTGATTGACTTTGAACCGCCTGAGAGTTTCCTCTATTCGGTGATGCACTTCGCGAACTGTTTTTACTCGAAGTATTCACCAACAAGCTAGCCATTCCTTTTTCTCTCGAGTTGATCTCGAAACAAATCTTCGCATTTGCTCTCTCAGGTTTCAACTGAACCTTGAAAGAAATGAGTTTATAGTTAGATATATGCATTCTTCACGTCTTCCTCATCGTACGATGTACGAAGTGAATGATAAGTAGTGAGTAATCATTAATCTCGAATCGAGATTAAGAAAACGTACAAATATTCTCTCGCAAATATATTTTTTCCCATATTTTTAATATTTTTATTTTATTTTATATTTTTCTATAAATTGTACCATCTTTACAGCATCATTTTTTCTATTCCTTTTCTCTAGAATGAAGAACACAATTTTTCTAAGGATATCAACACAGTTTTTTATTGAAAGTATCAAATTGAGACGAAAGTAGATCAAATTTGATACAAAAAAATTTGAATCAATTTTTGATTTGATCCACATTTTTTGTATCAATTCGTTGCAATTTGATACTATTAAATTAACAGTGAAATTGAGACAAAAAACGAATCAAAATTGTTGCAATGCAACAATTTTGATTCGTTTTTTGTCTCAATTTTGAAATCCTTAGAAAAAATGTGAAAATAAAAAATGTAGAAATCAAGTTTAAAACAAAATTTATAATCAAATCTTTTTCAAAAAGTTAAAATCGAAATTCAAAAGTGAAAATGAAAAAGTGCATTATTAAATTGTGAGTCATGACACACTAGACACACTGTATGATCACTATTATTGTTGTATTATGAAGACGTAATCTACAACTAAGACGTTTGTCAAGAGAATATAAATTCACTTCCAGCACGTTCATTGAATGGAGAATGAACTGTGTGTGGCTTTTAAAGCAACTTTTTTTTTTTGCCTTTCCTGAACGAGTTGTTTTAATATATCGAGTGAAAACGTACATTATCTTATCAGTTCCTATGAATCAATTGCTTTTTGCAAAAAATTATCAAAAGATAAAGCACTTCTTTTTCCCTATTTTTATTCACTTTTGAGAAAATATTTTCATTAATACTCACTGATTGCAAATTTTTCTAAAAGCTATTATAGATAGCAGAATATGTGTCTATATTGGTATAATATCTATTTTCGCATATTATTTTTCAATTTCGGAATTATGTATCAATAGAAAATTTTCAATTTTTATTTTCATTCATTGAAAATTTGTGTGAAAATTTTTTGCAAAATATTCATTTTCAATTCAATGCATATTCGTTAAAAATAGTCTTGTAGTTTATTGAACTTTCACCACTTCTAATTAGATATTGAAAGAAACTTTCTAACCTTCTTATATATTTTAATATGAGAATTAATTTTCAATCATGTGAAATTAAAAATTCACACTGAAAATTATGTAATTACTTCCCTTTTTACATTATGAACGTCAAATACAACGAAAAAGCGATATTCTAAATTTAAGAATTTATATAATTATAGAAAAATTTAATATAATATGCAAATAAAGGCTTTGTACTCGATAATTAATTTTAAAAAAGTATCAAAAAGTAGCTTAAAGACAGAAAAAGGTAGTAAAAAAAGTAGCTATCGAAAAATTAAACTTGACTCAATTTTTTTATAATTTCTTAATTATATTCAAAAATAGAATAATTTTTCAAAATAAATATTTAAATATCTAGAATTTATTTTGTCTACAGGAATCAAAATATTTCAAATGTTTTCAATGTAACGCATTTTTGAAATTTAACTATTTCTAAAAATTACAAAAGTTCTTTCAAAATTCCATCCTACTTTTCTTAAAATTTATATACAAAAAATTATTCAAAACTCTAATCATTTTATTTTATTCAATTCTAAATAAATTCTTATTAGAAAGTTCTACGAGAATTCATTATTTATATACAAAAATCAATAATTTACTGAATAATTACAAATATTTCTTAAATTTGAATTCTTATAAAGAAATTTACCAACATTTTTAAAAAAATAATTGAATTTTTACGAAGAATTGCATTTAAAATTTTGATAATAATTAAATTCATTCAAGAAATGTAATTAAATATGAATTGAAAATAATTATTAGACTCTAAGAAAAAAAATTGTATCAAATATTTTTAAGTAATAATTGAATTTTTTGAAGAATTTTATTCAAATTTTTTAAGAATAATTGCGTTTTTAGTGGAATTAATTTTAAAATTATATTAAGAATAATTGAAATCCTACGATGAGTTTTATTATTTATGAAAATAATTGAATTTTTGTCACCGAGCTTTCAGTAAAGTTTTTAAAATAATTGCATTCTTGGGAAAAATTTTAAAATAATCTTTTTAAAGAAATTAATTTTTTCAAAAAATTTTAAGAAAATTATGTTTTAAATAATTGAATTTTTTTAAAATTGTCGATTATTTATGAAAATAATTGAATTCTTTCAACAAAATTTTATTCAAATTATATTGAAAACAATTCAATTATAATAAAGAATTTCATTAAAATTTTTTTAAATAATCGAATTATTGCAATAAATTTTATTAAAATATTTCAAAATACTTGCATTTTTCCAGGAATTTATTGCTAATTGAATTAAAAATAATTAAAATCCTCCAATGAATTTTATTAATTTAAAAATAATTGAATTTTTAATCCGAATTTTATTAAATTTTTTAAAAATAATTGAATTCTGAGAAGAATTTTAATATTTAATTTAATTTAATTTAATTTAATTTTTGTAGTAAATTTTATTAAAATTTTTAAAAATAATTGTATTCTAGAGAAGAATTTAAATATTTTCAAAAATAATTGAAATCCTTCAATGAATTTTGTTAGTTCTAAAAATAATTGAATTTTTTATCCGAATTTCACTAAAATTTTTTCAAATAATTGAATCCTGAGAAGAATTTTAATATTTATAAAAATAATTGTGGAAATAATTGAATTTTTGCAATGAATTTTATTAAAATTTTGAAAAATAATTGTATTCCAGAGAAGAATTAAAATATTTTCAAAAATAATTGAATTCTTGAGAAGAATTATAAATTTTTTAATAATTATTATATTTTTTTTGAGAAATTTTATTAAAATTTTATTAAAAATCATTGAAATTCTGCGATGATTTTTAATATTTATAAAAATAATTGAATTCTTGCAATGATTATTATTAAAATTTTAAAAAATAATTAAATTTCTGAAAAGATTTTTAATTTATAGAAAAATAATTGAATTCTTCCGACGAATTTCAATAAAAATTTTTAAGAATAATTGAATTTTTCGAGGAATTATTTTAAAATTGTATTAAAGAGTAATTAAAATTCTGCAATGACTTTTATTAGTTATGGAAATTATTGGATTTTTGCATCGGATTTTATTAACATTTTTAAAAATAATTGAATTCCTGCGATGAGTTTTATTGTTTATGAAAATAATTGAATTTTTGCAACGAATTTTATTAAAATTTTTAAAAATAATTGGATTTCTGAGATGAGTTTTATTGTTTATGAAAATAATTGAATTTTTTCAATGAATTTTATTAAAATTTTGTTTTCTTTTAATTAAATGATTTTTTTGAAAAATTTTATGAAAATTGTGTTTTAAATTATTGAATTCCTGTGAAAATGATATTTTTTAAGAAAATAATTGAATGTTTCTAAAATTATTTAGAATATCGTTTTTTCGGTGATTACTTTTTAATGTCTATTTTTAAAATTTTTTATAATTATAATTTTTCTTCCCTTCGGTAAAAAAATATTATTCGAAAAAAGCAGGTCATAGAAGTTGATGCACTTGAAGATGACCCTTACATTGAAATAACTATAGATTCTAAAGGGATTAAATTATTTTCCCCCTCGATCTAAATAGTTTAAAAATATGTTTTTTTATACTGAAATTCCTTTTTTTTTGCAGAAAAGACGGTAATTATTTTTTTTTACACATCACACTCACTATTTTATAACTTGGGAAAATTAGAATTCTTGGCATCAAAGTTCAAGCTTCATTAAGTCGTTCTACTTTAGCCTTTATACCTTTTTCCTCAATTCTAACGACCTACGTCAATTTTCTCTATTTTTGAACATTTTAACATTTTACCCGCAAGGATCGTTAACTTTAAGGCAAATTTCTTTTATTTTCTTTAAAATAAATATGAGAAAATTTTCGATTTTAAAAAATTAGAATTTTTATGCAAGAACCTAATTTTTATGCTGTAAAAAAGTACTTTCCCCATAGTAGCAACCCTGACCCCAGAGAAAAGAGAGACAAAACTTCGTGAGTCACTGACCTGTCAAAGACCTATAGGTACATGAACAATTATTTTTATAAATAATTTTATAAATTATCATTGATTTTAGTTTCTTTTCTTCGAATAGAAAGACAAAATTGACGTTTGGAATGTTGTGATTGTGACCCACCTAGTTACACAGGAAATAAATCACACACATCGGATAAAAGTCTCTTTTTCGCCTGAGAGAATCAATTTTTTTTGTATTTCACTTTTCGAAACAAAAAAAGAAATTAACACCACGATTTTCGTCAAATTTATAATATTTATATCGTCGTCGGCCTTCGCGGGCGTGTCATCGTCATTCTGATTACTTTTCCCCTTAGAAAACACATCATTATCTTTTGTAAGAATACTCCACGAGCACTGGTATTAAAAATTCATAACTAATATCCACTTATTATAAAAAAATAATAAAGAATGTTTATCATTCTTTGAGAGAAAGTTTTTCCGCGGCTATACACAAAAAGAGGAAACAAGAATTTAGTCGCGTAATTCCATCAAAGACGGATTAACTTTTTAGTGGTTGAGACACGAAAAAAAAACCAACTACACTTTCCTAACGAAACATATTATTCCCGAAATATCAAATTTATTCAAAGAAATATAAAATTTTATTCGTATATTCAATAGAGATCATCTAAATTTCGGATCTGATATTCTGCTAGAAATTCCGAACCCTAACCTTGTTAAGTTAGTTATACATATTTGTCAAATTCGAGAATGATTTTAAAAATAATATTTGACGAGAATAAATAATATCTTACCTTTTGAAATTATTCCTTTATTGTTCATATGCACGGCACATTTGTAAATATTCTAAATTGCACTAAATTTTTTCTTTATTACTTTCCAAAAAAAAAATATTCAACTAACTTCACAAACTTCAACTGCTCTATGCTTTTGGAAGCATTATGTCAATTTACAGCTTCGACAATCTTCGATTTTCGGCGGAAGTTGCCGAGTGCCGAAGAACAGGTCTGTAGCTTCCACTCCCTGGAGCCCTACGCACTGAGATTTTCTCTTTTGTAAACAAAACTGTGACCACTGTGACAAAGGAAAAGGGATTTATTCAGGTGAGTTAAATTTTTTTACTTTAGATTTAGTTTTTCAAATAAAAAAAAACAAACAAACAAAATCGAAATCTGAGCTATTTTGGAATACTTGACTTAGTATCGAAACTAATTTTATAGGTTATGTTCTATATTTGTTGTCTAAATCTAAATCATCTAAATCAATTCTTATTAGAAACTTCTACGAGAATTCAATTATTTAAATAAGAAAATTAATTTATTGAATAATTACGAATATTTCTTAAATTTGAATTCTTATAAAGAACTTTATCAACATTTTTTAAAATAATTGAATTTTTACGAAGAATTGCATGAAAATTTTTTATAATAATTGGATTTCATTCAAGAAATGATATTAAAAAGAAATTGAAAATAATTATTACACTCTAAGAAACAAATTATATCAAATTTTTTAAAAAAATTATTTTTTTCAATTTTAATGAAAATTGTATGTGAATTTCTTTGAAAATTTTACTTTATTTATGAAAATAATTGAACACTTTCAATAAATTTTATTAAAATTATATTGAAAACAATTGAATTATTATAAAGAAGTTAATTCATATTTTTTTAAATAATTGAATTTCTGCAATGGAATTTATTAAAATATTTAAAAATAATTGCGTTTTTCGGGGAATTCATTGCAAATTAAATTAAAAATAATTGAAATCCTCCGATGAATTTCAATAGTCTAAAAATAATTGAATTTTTAATCCGAATTTAATTAAAATTTCTAAAAAATAATTGAATCCTGAGAAGAATTTTAATATTTATAAAAATAGTTATGTAAATAATTGAATTTTTGCAATCAATTTCATTAAAATTTTTAAAAATAATTGTATTCCAGAGAAGAATTTAAATATTTTCAAAAATAATTGAATTTTTGAGAAGAATTATAAATTTTTTAATAATAATTTCATTTTCGATGAATTTGATTAAAATTGTATTAAAAATAATTGAAATTCTGCGAGGGGTTTATATATTTTTAAAAATAATTGAATTATTGCAACGAATTTTATTAAAATTTTTTGTCCGTCCAAACTTTAAATAAATAAATAAATAAAAATAATTGTATTTCAGAGAAGAATTTTAATTTATAAATGTAATTAAATTCTTGCAAAGAGTTATAAAATAAGTTATGTTCTATATTTTGTATAGGTTATGTTCTATATTTTTTGTCTACGTTGCCTATATTATTATTCAAAATTTAAAGGGACCCTTTTAACTTAAAAGTATCAAATTATCAAATTGCAACGACAATACCAAAAATGTGGATCAATAAAAAAATTGATCCACATTTTTGGATATCAATTTGATCTACTTTAGTATCAATTTGATATTTTCAGGAAAACTGGAAGGTGTGATTAAAGAATCCATTGATTGAGTAAATTTAATTTTGTTGTTTAATTTCTTTATTTACATTTAAAAAATGTTTACATTGTTAACCTTTAAAAAGAAAAACATCTTTAATTTTTTCAAAAACATCCTTAGAAACAGTATTTAATTTTTTTTTCGCAGTTTAATTATTATCGGTCTGATTTTCCTTGAGTAGATTTAATTTATTTAGGAGAGAATTTCCAAAGGAATTTCTATACATCGGACTTAGGAAATCAAGTAAACTGTAAGGTGTTTCAAAATACATAGTATTCATATTGTTGGACATGTCGTCATGTTGATTACCAACAACACAAAAACCGGCCGCTGTTAATTTAACACAAAATTTCAAATTCTCGAGTGTCGTGAGATTTAAAAATATTTCTGTATTTGTACTTTGGAATTTTTCCGACAGAACAAAATCAGTGACATGATTTTTAACATCATTTATAACAGACTGAGCTTCTAATTTCCATTGTTCGGCGTCCAAAACCCGTTCGTCGGGATTCATTTTTTTTTCAAAGAATTTTTTTTTTTTTATAACAAAAGAATTATAATCTGCCAAAAAAATTTCGTAAGGATGAAAAATTATCACCATATCACCTTAATTTTGGCTCGGTATATTACATTAGTGTTTGGCAATTGTGAATGGTATTTGCAATCATTATTTTACTGTATAGTTATACAGAGAACGTGGAACACGGAAATGAATATTTTTCTTTTTATATATCTATATATGAGGGATTTGCCGCCAAGGCGCCTTGTGTGTGAGTCTAAAAATGAAAGTGAAATGGTAATAATAAATTAAAATTGTTGTGTACACTAGAAAATAAGTACATGTACCAACCTGTACGGGTAAATTGTAACTTCTTCCTTGGAGAGTGTTTGCCATCTGGTGATCGATAGGGTAAAGTAAATTTAGTACAGCGTATTTTCTGTAATTTTTCTTTTAGATTTTATTTATTTATTTTTTTTGTTTTACTGTCATTTTTAGAAAAAATTAGAATTCAAAGACTTAGAGATAATTTATATTTAAATCTTGAAGAGAAATATTTTTATCTTCTTTTTTTTAAATCGATTTTTTAATTACTACACACATGTAGCAATGGTTGTATTTTCAGGGGCAGTGGGTAAATTTAGAAAAAAAAATATTTAGGGTTGCCTTACAAAAATTTAATTTTGTCTTTCCTGATTTCCAGATAGAATTTTTACTTCATCCCTTTTCCTAAAAAATAAAATTTTCTAGAAAAATATTATAATTTATTCTAAAATTGATACGATACCTACTCAAGAACAAGTTTTACATTTATTTTCAAGTTTGTTTAATTTTAAAATTATTTGGAAACATGAAATTAATTTTAAAAAAATAGTTTGATAATTGTTATTTTTTCAGGATTTAACAATTCTAATAATCTGAAAATTACCAGAGTTCTAGTAGGGACTGAGCCCCACACAATCCTGAAGAATAGAGAATTTTATTTCAATTTTTAAGTAGTAGCAGGTTCACCCGTACGCCATCAGACAATCAAGATTTGGTAAAAACGAAAATAAAAATTTATTTCTTCCAAATATAACAATTCTAATAATCTGAAAATTACCAGAGTTCTAGTAGGGACTGAGCCTCACACAATCCTGAAGAAAAGAGAATTTTATTTCAATTTTTAAGTAGTAGCACCACCACCCGAATGCTATCAGACAATTTAAATTTGTTAAAAATGAAAATAAAAATTTATTTCTTCCAAATATAACAATTCTAATAATCTGAAAATTACCAGAGTTCTAGTAGGGACTGAGCCCCACACAATCCTGAAGAATAGAGAATTTTATTTCAATTTTTAAGTAGTAGCAGGTCCACCCGTACGCCATCAGACAATCATAATTTGGTAAGAACGAAAATAAAAATTTATTTCTTCCAAATGTAACAATTCTAATAACCTGAAAATTACTAGAGTTCTAGTAGGGACTGAGCCCCACACAATCCTGAAGAATAGAGAATTTTATTTCAATTTTTAAGTAGTAGCACCACCACCCGTACGCCATCAGACATTTTAAATTTGTTAAAAATGAAAATAAAAATTTATTTCTTCCAAATATAACAATTCTAATAATCTGAAAATTACCAGAATTCTAGTAGGGACTGAGCCCCACACAATCCTGAAGAATAGAGAATTTTAATTCAATTTTTAAGTAGTAGCACCACCACCCGTACGCCATCAGACAATTTAAATTTGTTAAAAATGAAAATAAAAATTTATTTCTTCCAAATATAACAATTCTAATAATCTGAAAATTACCAGAGTTCTAGTAGGGACTGAGCCCCACACAATCCTGAAGAATAGAGAATTTTATTTCAATTTTTAAGTAGTAGCAGGTCCACCCGTACGCCATCAGACAATCATAATTTGGTAAGAACAAAAATAAAAATTTATTTCTTCCAAATATAACAATTCTAATAATCTGAAAATTACCAGAGTTCTAGTAGGGACTGAGCCCCACACAATCCTGAAGAATAGAGAATTTTATTTCAATTTTTAAGTAGTAGCACCACCACCCGAATGCTATCAGACAATTTAAATTTGTTAAAAATGAAAATAAAAATTTATTTCTTCCAAATATAACAATTCTAATAATCTGAAAATTACCAGAGTTCTAGTAGGGACTGAGCCCCACACAATCCTGAAGAATAGAGAATTTTATTTCAATTTTTAAGTAGTATCACCACCACCCGAATGCTATCAGACAATTTAAATTTGTTAAAAATGAAAATAAAAATTTATTTCTTCCAAATATAACAATTTTAATAATCTAAAAATTACCAGAGTTCTAGTAGGGACTGAGCCCCACACAATCCTGAAGAATAGAGAATTTTATTTCAATTTTTAAGTAGTAGCAGGTCCACCCGTACGCCATCAGACAATCATAATTTGGTAAGAACGAAAATAAAAATTTATTTCTTCCAAATATAACAAATCTAATAATCTGAAAATTACCAGAGTTCTAGTAGGGACTGAGCCCCACACAATCCTGTTGAATAGAGAATTTTTTTTTAATTTTTAAGTAGTAGCACCACCACCCGAATGCTATCAGACAATTTAAATTTGTTAAAAATGAAAAAAAAAATTTATTTCTTCCAAATATAACAATTCTAATAATCTGAAAATTACCAGAGTTCTAGTAGGGACTGAGCCCCACACAATCCTGAAGAATAGAGAATTTTATTTCAATTTTTAAGTAGTAGCAGGTCCACCCGTACGCCATCAGACAATCATAATTTGATAAGAACGAAAATAAAAATTTATTTCTTCCAAATATAACAATTCTAATAATCTGAAAATTACCAGAGTTCTAGTAGGGACTGAGCCCCGCACAATCCTGAAGAATAGAGAATTTTATTTTAATTTTTAAGTAGTAGCACCACCACCCGAATGCTATCAGACAATTTAAATTTGTTAAAAATGAAAATAAAAATTTATTTCTTCCAAATATAACAATTCTAATAATCTGAAAATTACCAGAGTTCTAGTAGGGACTGAGCCCCACACAATCCTGAAGAATAGAGAATTTTATTTCAATTTTTAAGTAGTAGCACCACCACCCGAATGCTATCAGACAATTTAAATTTGTTAAAAATGAAAATAAAAATTTATTTCTTCCAAATATAACAATTCTAATAATCTGAAAATTACCAGAGTTCTAGTAGGGACTGAGCCCCACACAATCCTGAAGAATAGAGAATTTTATTTCAATTTTTAAGTAGTAGAACCACCACCCGTACGCCATCAGACAATTTAAATTTGTTAAAAATGAAAATAAAAATTTATTTCTTCCAAATATAACAATTCTAATAATCTGAAAATTACCAGAATTCTAGTAGGGACTGAGCCCCACACAATCCTGAAGAATAGAGAATTTTAATTCAATTTTTAAGTAGTAGCACCACCACCCGTACGCCATCAGACAATTTAAATTTGTTAAAAATGAAAATAAAAATTTATTTCTTCCAAATATAACAAATCTAATTATCTGAAAATTACCAGAGTTCTAGTAGGGACTGAGCCTTACACAATCCTGAAGAATAGAGAATTTTATTTCAATTTTTAAGTAGTAGCACCACCACCCGTACGCCATCAGACAATCATAATTTGGTAAGAACGAAAATAAAAATTTATTTCTTCCAAATATAACAATTCTAATAATCTGAAAATTACCAGAGTTCTAGTAGGGACTGAGCCCTACACAATCCTGAAGAATAGAGAAATTTATTTCAATTTTTAAGTAGTAGCACCACCACCCGAATGCTATCAGACAATTTAAATTTGTTAAAAATGAAAATAAAAATTTATTTCTTCCAAATATAACAATTCTAATAATCTGAAAATTACCAGAGTTCTAGTAGGGACTGAGCCCCACACAATCCTGAAGAATAGAGAATTTTATTTCAATTTTTAAGTAGTAGCAGGTCCACCCGTACGCCATCAGACAATCATAATTTGGTAAGAACGAAAATAATAATTTATTTCTTCCAAATATAACAATTCTAATAATCTGAAAATTACCAGAGTTCTAGTAGGGACTGAGCCTCACACAATCCTGAAGAATAGAGAATTTTATTTCAATTTTTAAGTAGTAGCACCACCACCCGAATGCTATCAGACAATTTAAATTTGTTAAAAATGAAAATAAAAATTTATTTCTTCCCAATATAACAATTCTAATAATCTGAAAATTACCAGAGTTCTAGTAGGGACTGAGCCCCACACAATCCTGAAGAATAGAGAATTTTATTTCAATTTTTAAGTAGTAGCACCACCACCCGAATGCTATCAGACAATTTAAATTTGTTAAAAATGAAAATAAAAATTTATTTCTTCCCAATATAACAATTCTAATAATCTGAAAATTACCAGAGTTCTAGTAGGGACTGAGCCCCACACAATCCTGAAGAATAGAGAATTTTATTTCAATTTTTAAGTAGTAGCACCACCACCCGTACGCCATCAGACAATTTAAATTTGTTAAAAATGAAAATAAAAATTTATTTCTTTTAAATGTAACAATTCTAATAACCTGAAAATTACCAGAGTTCTAGTAGGGACTGAGCCCCACACAATCCTGAAGAATAGACAATTTTATTTCAATTTTTAAGTAGTAGCACCACCACCCGTACGCCATGAGACAATTTAAATTTGTTAAAAATGAAAATAAAAATTTATTTCTTTTAAATGTAACAATTCTAATAACCTGAAAATTACCAGAGTTCTAGTAGGGACTGAGCCCCACACAATCCTGAAGAATAGACAATTTTATTTCAATTTTTAAGTAGTAGCACCACCACCCGTACGCCATCAGACAATTTAAATTTGTTAAAAATGAAAATAAAAATTTATTTCTTCCAAATATAACAATTCTAATAATCTGAAAATTACCAGAGTTCTAGTAGGGACTGAGCCCCACACAATCCTGAAGAATAGAGAATTTTATTTCAATTTTTAAGTAGTAGCAGGTCCACCCGTACGCCATCAGACAATTTAAATTTGTTAAAAATGAAAATAAAAATTTATTTCTTCCAAATATAACAATTCTAATAATCTGAAAATTACCAGAGTTCTAGTAGGGACTGAGCCCCACACAATCCTGAAGAAAAGAGAATTTTATTTCAATTTTTAAGTAGTAGCACCACCACCCGAATGCTATCAGACAATTTAAATTTGTTAAAAATGAAAATAAAAATTTATTTCTTCCAAATATAACAATTCTAATAATCTGAAAATTACCAGAGTTCTAGTAGGGACTGAGCCCCACACAATCCTGAAGAGTAGACAATTTTATTTCAATTTTTAAGTAGTAGCACCACCACCCGTACGCCATGAGACAATTTAAATTTGTTAAA